GGGGTAAGTCAGAAATGACACACTTGTGGAGTCCCTGGTTGTTTGGAGAGCTTGGGGGGAGAGGGGAGACAAAACAAACAAACAAAAAAAGAATAATCAAACCATTAAGATAACCTTAGCTAAAACGGGTCAGGAAAATCATGATAATTGGTTGAAGCTCTTCCCATTTCTCAAATGCTTGTTGATGCAGCCTAAACAGAAAATCAACCTTTGCAGCTGTGCTTTGGAAGACCGTGCCCAACATGGCTGGCCCCTGGACCTGCCCAGATGTGGGGATATAGAACAATAAGCCATATGATACAGCCGAAGTGGGAGGGAGCTGCTTTTAACTGATAGGCAAACAGGAATCCACCTCCTCTGCTGCCGTGAAATTCCTCCCACAGGCACCAATTGGTTAGTTCACTTCAAGACTTAGAGATGGCTAAATCCCATCTGGACAGAACTACACTGGATTCTACTAAACACATCTTCTTCTTCTTCTTCTTCTTTTTTTTTTTTTTTAAAGAGTTATTTATTTATTTGGAAGGCAGAGTTACAGGAAGAAAAAGAGAGAGAGATCTTCCATCTGCTGGTTTCACTCTCCTAATGGCTGCAACAACCAGGTCTAGATAGGGACACAGTCAAGAATCAAGAGCTTCTTTGCAGTCTCCCATGTGGGTACAGAGGCCAGGTATCCTCTTTTGCTTTGCTAGGCATATGAGCAGGGAGCTGAGTGGAAAGTGGAGAAGCTGGGACTTAAACTTGAAACCATAATAGGGTGCTAATGTCACGGGTGGTGGCTTTATGTGCTCCACCACCTTCATTTTTTAAAATTCTTTTGTTTTGGTAATCTTTACATAGTTGATCAGGGCACAAAGAGTCAAAGGCTACAGGAAAGTGGGTAAGACCATTGTTTCCACACTAATATTATTACCCACATTCATTTGTATTACAAGATGTGACCCCCCCATTGGTCTCACTATTCTGGAGTGAAGAAAGCTCCTGGATCTGCTGTGAGCTTCCTGGTGGCCTTGGGGACCGGTGTCACACCTAAAACTTCTCTTCGAAAGGAGCGGATGTTGATACTGAGAAAAAGGTACTTCTGAACACCTTGCTATATTGGGGCCGGTGCTTGAGTAACCAAGAGTGTGGGAGGCAGCAGAACACAGGCAGAGAATCCGAAACAATTTCTAAATTCCATGCTCTCTTGAGTGGCTTTTAGGACAATGTTGTAGGAAAGCTCAGCTTGTAACATTAAACAATGAAGAAAAGCTGCCAGCAGCTAGAGTCTTTGGGCACCAGGAGTCGGAGAAGGGGTATTGCTTGGCCCTGTTACAGGTTACATGTTGGCTACTCCCCTAACCTTTGCTTCACAAGCCCTGCCCAACCATGGCATGGCAGTTTCGTTTTGAGAACTCTACCTTCCTCTTATCTCCCTCCCTTGCTCTGCTTTGAGCAGCTCCACCTGCAGCCAACCATCTGGCCATGTCCTGACCCATCAGGCCAACTGAGTCTTTGCCAGGCAGACATTCCCTTCCCTGGTGAGGGCCCTTAAGCCCATGTGCCCAGGCCTGGTGGGCGTGTGGCTTAAGAAAGAACTGGAAGGCAGGAGGCCAAGGCCTGAGTCAGGGAAGGGCTGCACCTGGCCAAAATAGGGTGTGGGCTGGGAGGGAGAAGCCCCAAGTGAATCCTGCCTGTTCCCACTGCCGACCTTCTCTTGGGTGGGCAGTGGTCCTCATGACCTGGCTGTGCTAACAAGAGAAGAAATAGAAATATATCAAGCACCCCGAGTCTAGGGCTGGTGTACAGGGTAGTGGGATATCATGAATTTTTTTTTAAGATTAATTTTCTTTTTATTGCAAAGTCAAATATACAAAGAGGAATATCTTCCATCCACTGATTTACTCCCCAAGCGGCCACAAGGGCCTGAGCTGAGCCAATCTAAAGCCAGGAGCCAGAAGCTTCTTCAGGGTCCCCCAAAAAGGTGCAGGGTACCAAGACCCTGGGCCATCATTAACTACTTTCCCATGCCACAGGCAGGGAGTTGGACGGGAAGGCAGACTGCCAGGACCAGAACCAGCGCCCATATGGGATCCTGGCGTGTGCAAGGTGAGGACTTCAGTGGCTAGGCCACCACACTGGTGTTAGGTTTGCTGACCACCAGGTAAAGAGAAAAGCATCAGGGCCCGAAGTGGTGGCCTAGTGGCTAAAGTCGTTGCCTTGAATGTGCTGGGAACCCATATGGGCGCCGGTTCTAGTCCCAGCAGCTCCACTTTTCATCTAGCTCCCTGCTTGTGACCTGGGAAGGCAGTCAAGGATGGATCAAGGCTTTGGGACCCTGCACCCATGTGGGAGACCTGAAAGAAGTTCCTGGTTCCTGGCTTCAGATCGGCGCAGTACTGGCCGTTACGCTCACTTGGGGAGTGAATCATCAGACGGAAGATCTTCCTCTCTGTCTCTTCTCCTCTCTGTACATCTAACTTTGCAATAAATAAATAAATCCTAAAAAAAAAAAAAAAAAAGCCTTGGCTGTTAACAAGACAACTACTAGGGGAAACTCTGTTCTTGGGCCTTTTCTCTACATAACAGAGAGGCAGAGGAAAGTAGGAGCTGAGAAGACGCAGGCAAAAAAGGCACCCAAAGAAGTGTGCAGGAGGCTTCTCCAGTCCTTATTACGAGAGGAAATGCTGGCTGGAGCTTAAGATTTATTATTACTACAATTATTCTTTAAAGATTTATTTTTTTTTTATTGGAAAGTCAGATTTACAGAGCAGAGACAAAGATCTTCCATCCATTGGTTCACTCTCCAAATGGCCACAATAGCTGGAGCTGAGCCGATCTGATCTGAAGCCAGGAACAAGGAGCTTCTTCTGGGCACAGGGTCCCAAGGAATTGGGCCATCCTCCACTGCTTTCCCAGGCCACAAGCAGGCAGCTACAATGGGAAGTGGAGCAGCCAGGGTATGAACTGGTGCTCATACGGGATCCTGGCACATTCAAGGCAAGGACGTTAGCCACTAGGCTACCACAGCAGGCCCAAGATTTATTATTTTTATTGGAAAGGCAGATTTATAGGGAAGGAGAGACAGAAAAATCTTCCATTTGCTGGTTCATTCCCTAAATGGCCACAATGGCCAGAGCTGAATTAATCCAAAGTCAGGAGCTAGGAGCTTCTTTTAGCTGTCTCATGCAGGTGCAGGGTCCCAGGGCTTTGGGCCATCCTCTGCTGCTTTCCCAGGCCATGAGCAGAGAGCTGAATAGAAAGTAGAGCAGCTGAGACACAAACCTGATTGTGTAACCGTTTGGGATCCTGGTGCTTGCAAAGTGAGGATTTAGTCACTGAACGACCATACCAGACCAATACACTGAGTCTTCTATGAGGCATGTGAGAGAACAGCATGCAGATCGTGCTAACCAGTTGTGGGGGACTGAAGACCCCTGATGCAATCACTTCTCACTGCTGCTGTGGCCAAACGCTGGCGTAACAGCCACCAATGTGGGAAGCCTTGATTGTGCTTGTTAACTCCCAGTAAGTCTCCCAGACTCACCACTTGTTCCCGGCCTGGGCCTTTTAAGTGGAGTCAGTCCATGCCCACCACCCCGCCACTGCTCCACGCTGTACTCCAGCATTTCTTCCCTCCTCCATGGGCCCTGTGTGACCTGCCCCTACCCATCCAGCCAGCTTGGTTTTTCCTGTTTCCCAGTCTCCATCCCCTAACATCTGTGTGTTTTTTTTTTTTTTAAGATTTATTTTATAAGATATACATACAGATATACAAGAGGAGGACAGAGAGGAAGATCTTCCATCCAATGATTCACTCCTCAAACAGCTGCAATGGCTGGAGCTGAGCCGATCTGAAGCCAGGAGCCTGGAACTTCTTCCAGGTCTCCCACGCGGGTGCAGGGTCCCAAGGCTTTGGGTCGTCCTCCACTGCTTTTCCAGGCCACAAACAGGGAACTGGATGGGAAGCGGGGCTCTGGGATTAGAACCAGCGTCTATATGGGATCCTGGCACGTTCAAGGCAAGGATTTTAGCCATTAAGTCACTGTGCCGGGCCCGCTGCTTCTTTTTTTAATGTTTCTAGTTCATCTTGCGGCTTCATCCACCTGCATCCCCACACCATGAGCTCCCCAAGCACCAGGTTGTGGTTTATTCCTTGCTGTAGCCCCCAGACAAGCATGCAGTAGACACTCAATAATGTCTGTTGCACAAACAATGAAGGCAGATGCAATCTGGGCGCAGACCAGACTATCTCTGGAATGCTCCTGCGCCTACCCCCAGGGAGCAGAGCTGGGGGATGAGGGATAGGGGTAGCAGACCTGTTTTGACTGCTAGAAATGTTTTAAGTTTGCATCACCTTTACACAGAGGCCAGAGAAGGAGTTAAGAAGGCGGCTGAGGTTCTGGGAGGAGGATGTTGGGGGCAGGGATGCCCTGTGCTATCTCCAGGCTAGAACCCTAGGTCAGACAAGATGTGTGTGTATAAGCACTAATGGGCTTGGAGGCTGGTGATCCCAGCGAAAAAATCAAAGGCCTGTGGCTGTAGGGGGACCGTTGTAGGGACTGTCTGTCATGCATGCGTGAGCAGTGTCATATGATGTCCCTGGCCCACTATGGCGAGTCCACAGGGAGGAAAGCCAGCTGCGGGTCTTGCTCGCTCAGGCTGTGTGTGTGTGCACCTGGGCAGAGCTGAGCTGTATGGCCCCACAGGTGCTTCTCCCTTACAGCTCGAGTGGGAGCTAGGAGCTTGTGCAGCTCTCCACGTATGGCGGGATTTGTGCCGGCTCAGCACTTTCCCCTCCAGCCTTCCCTATCGGGACCAGGCTTCCTGTTTGGGCAAGGAGCCGGGTCCTGTGTGCTCTCCGTGCTAATGCCTTGGACGTCACAGAAAGGATCCCACCCAAGCCTACCTATCCCTCCCATCCCATCCTGGCTGGGAGGAGCCCGGCCTGTCTGCCCTCCCCCTCACCAGGCTTTCCAGCTCTGTACCGACTGCAGCCTGGCTCCAAGGCCCTTTGTCAAATTCCCCTCAGACACTTAGAGCTATTGACCTCAGTGCCCATTTATTATACATGGGGTTCAGTGCTTCTCAAAGACTTCCAGGACCGCCCATTGGCTGGCACTAGGAGGGCATGGGAGCAGCTTCCTTCGAGAGGTGGGGCCCTTGGACCCCTGCTTGGGGCAGCTACCAGGCCCTGGTGGGGTCTGGGCCAGCCGGGCTGAATTCATGCCCATCAGGCAGAGCGGCTCTAAATAGAATCCACACTTGACTCATCTGTGGCTGGTCCCCTGGTCAAGCACAGTTGGCCCCGGGGGGTCTTCACAAATCCTGGGCAGGTGCTGAGGAAGAGAGTTGGGGCTGAGAGACTGGCTGTGCTACAGCAGCTAAGCCCATGCCTCATATGTCCATTTGCCCGCCCGTGCCCACCTGAGCGATGCCAGCCATGGTGCCCGTGGGGAGGGCAGGCAAGGCACCTGCCACCGTCAATCCAACAGTTTCTTGATACACCAGCAGCACAGAAGGACGTAGGCGATTTCCTTCAGGATCTGCTGCAGGCCCTGCCACCCTGTGCCTGTCTTGATGATGGGCACCTGGAAGTCGGCATCTTGCAGGAGCCCTCTGAGGGTGAAGGGCAGGGTGTGGGCGAGAGGCTGTGTCCGGAGCTGCATGTGGGAGCAGTTGTGAGGAAAGGGGTAGGAGGGGCGGGGGGTTGCCTTTTATGACCACTGTTTCCACCCTTCCCCCTCGGGCCTCATGACTGCAGACAAAGGCCCCAGGGTCTGGCACAGGGAAAGTTCTGGGCCTAGGAAAGGGCTGAGTCAGCCTCTGTGGCCAGGGATAGGGTGGGGCCAGCAGAAGGGCAGGCCTGGCCACTCTACCATTCACTCTCCCCAGGCACGCCAGCTCAGCGTCCCTCCTTCTGGCCTGGGTGCTGTCCTGCCTGGCTGCCCCTGCCCCAGGAGTTGGTCCAACTCCTGCCTCTGCTCTCTGGTGAGCTCCTGCTGCGGCTAACCCTGGGAACTGGTCAGCAAGAGCCCCCTTCCAGCCTTTTATGTCCTATCCCCCACCCTGGGGGACCTCTCGGAGCCAGCTCGGAGCAGGAATACCATAGCCAGAGCATCAGGCACAGTGAGAGGCACGGTTTATTGTCAGGCTGCACCCAAGGACAGCCCTCTCCTTCTTCTAGGTGGTGGGGGGAGGGAGGTACATCACATCCGGGAATTGCGTTCCTCGTTTTCATTCTCCAGTAGGTAGGCTGGGCGGTAGCTGGGCTGTCCTCCTGGGCTCAGGCACTTGAGGGCTGGGTTCCTCACTGTGTTCTCGCGGCTCCCCAGTGACGTGTACCTGGGGAAGGGGGGATGTGGAGAGGCAGGTGGGTGATGGGTGGGCTTTTCTGGTGGCTCTCGTGCCATTCACAACCCCCTCCAGTCTTCTTGCCCTCATGGCCTTACCCTTGGTCATACAGGATGCAGTACGGGATGAAGAGCTGACGCAGAAAGTCCCAGATGTTTCTGTAGGTCCAGTCCTGTGAGGTGAGTCATAGGAGAATCACTAGTCCACCCTGTTGTCCCACACCCGCCCCTGCTGCTGGACTGGGGCCCAGCCAAGGCTCCTGCACCGCCCTGGCCTCCAGGCAAACTCCTGCCACCGACCGACTGCTATGTCCTTGCTCCGGTGAGGCTGAGGAATCCTCTCTTGCACTCCCTGTCCGTCCTTCAAGGGTACGGGCTGAGGGAGGACAGTGAGGGCCCATGGGCATCCAAGGCAATGCCAGGAGGTGCTGCCTCATGAGGATGTGAGTGCTCTAGACCTCGGTGGTGATGTGCAATGTGTCTAAGTGCAGAAGTTTAAACTGCTTCAAGAACACAGGCATCCCATTTCAAGAATGCTGGTTTGAGGGGCTGGTGCCATGGTATAACAGGCTAAGCCTTCACCTGTGGCATTGGCATCCTACATGGGCACCAGTGCAAGTTCCGGTGGCTCCATTTCTCCTCCAGTTCCCTGCTTGTTGCCTGGGAAAGCAGTGAATGACCCAAGTCCTTGGGACCCTGCACTCATGTGGGAGACCCAGAAGCAGCTCCTGGCTTCAGATTGGCTCAGCTCTGGTCATCATGGCTATTTAGGAAGCGAACCAGGGGATGGAATATCTCTGTCTCTCCTTGGTACATCTATCTGCCTTTCTGATAAAAATGAATAAATCTTAAAAAACCAAGTCTTACACACACACGTGCACACACACATTATGTATGTGTTTATTAGAGTCCTGGCTGCTCCCTGCTAAGGCAGCAGTAATGGTGCAAGTACTTGGCCTCTGCTGACATTGTGGGAGACCCATGTGACTTTCTGGTCCCTAGCTTTGGGCTGGCCTAAACCTAACTAATGTGGGGAGTACTAGAGTGAGTGTTATATCTTTCTATTTCAAATAAATAATTTTTAAGAACTTTGAACTATAGTGCATATGTTGTAAGAGTTATTTTTGTTTAAACATTATTTACTTATTTGTTTTCATCTCTTGGAAAGGCAGAGATTATACCACATGGGAGAGAGAGAGACAGCAGGAAAGACATAAGTCATCTCTCTTTTTCTGGTTCACTCTGCAGTAGACGGAGCTGGGCCAGGCCAAAGCCAAGAGCCAGGAACTCAGGCCAGGGCTCCCACATGGGTGGTGACCCAAGTCCATGCCAGATTTTCACTGCCCCAGAGTATACACTAGCACAAAGCCAGAATTGGGAATGGGGCTGGGCCTAGGACCCAGGCACTGCACCAGGGGGTGTGGGCATCTCAAGCCACGTGGTTTTTACTGTTATGCCAGATCCATGCCCAAATTCGTCTTTTTCAAGTACATAGTTCAGAGGCTTTTAGTGATTTCATTTTAACTAAAAACTTAAAACATAACAATGGCTAGCGGCTATCATATTGGGGGAGCACAGGTCTAAGTTGCTGTTCTGTCCATAGCACCAAGTACAATGCCTGCCACTGAACTTGTGCTAAGTACTGGTCAGAAGGATGAATGAGGGGCTGGCACCATGGCATATTAGGTTAAGCCACCCCCTTTGGTGCCACCATCCTATCATGGGCATTGGTTCAACCCCAAATGCTCTGTTTCCGGCTCAGCTCTGTTAATGTGCCTGGGAAAGCAGCCTGAGCCTCTGACCCAAGGTAGGAGACCCAGAAGCAGCTCTTGGCTCTGGCCGCTGTGGCTACTTGGGGAGTGAACCAGTAGAGGGAATAATCTCTCTCCCTCTTTCTATAACTCTGCCTTTCAAATAAAATTGAATCTTTGGTGCCCCTTTGTTCAAGCCTCAGGTGTTAACCTCCTGCTGGGGGGCCAGAGTGCAGTGACTGAGCCTCCAAATTCCCGTTCCCTTACCAGCAGTGGATTGATGCGCATGAACGAGGGCCAGCCTGGGTCTGTGGGGCTGAAGGGGCAGAGGCTACGGGAGTAGGGGTCCGTCCGGCGAGTGCCCATCAGCACAGCCTCCAGCTGGGGGTACTGTGCCCGCAGCTTCCCCAGGGCCTGCTTCATGTCGCCCTCGGCCTCCAACACCTGCAGATGATACCTTGGGAAGGAACAGAATGTGTGTGTGTGTGGGGGGGGGGGGGTGCTGGGTCAGAGTGGATTCTGTGGGGCCTTCCTGGAAGCCCAAACCTGCTGCCGCCCCCCATTACCTCTTGATGGTGTCCTGCAGGAACTGCTCCAGCTCAGGGAAAGGGGAGACACTGCGGATATACAGGATCTGGAGGGGTTTTGGAACGTCAGGGAATTTCCTGGGGAGGGGGAAGAATCCACAGGCTTGCCAGCATGGACGCGGAGGGGCTCTGTGGGGAGCTTGTGGTCTTCCCTGTGCCCATGGTGGGGGGTTGGGGAAAACAGCCTCTGGTCTCCCCAGTCTGTCACACGCATCTGGAAGCCCACTCTTCCGGCTCAGCACATATCCCCTCTTTCACTTCCCCAACAGGACTGTGATGTGACTGCCCTGTGGGGGCTGGGCCCAGCATATATCAGATGCTCAGTAAGTATGATGGTGGTGTGTGGTGAGAGGATGGAAATGATGGCTCATGGTGGCCACCTCCTGCTTTCCCCCACCCATGCACCCTCAGATGGGGAGCTGGAGAGCAGGACTGGTTGGGGTGCTCACCTCTGCACAACTGCATGGAACAGGTGCAGGAGGGCGGTGCAGTCCTTGCCACCATTGAAGCCCACGCAGAGCTGAGGCAGGCTGTAGCGGGCCAGGGCACTCTCAATAGTCTGCAAGGCACCGGCAACCTTTTTTCCTAGAGAAGACCCTGTCGGACAGGCATGGAAGAGGGCACGAGATGGAACACTCTGGCTTTGTCCAAAGGGAGCCACATTGCTTGGCTTTCCCTCTCCGTCTTCCTGGGGTTTCAAGGTCAAAGTCCCAGCCACTCCTGCTGCTCCTTGGCCTGCCATTCAGCCCGTACCACACCTCAGCTAGGTCTCAGCGTCTTTCCCTGACTGTGGGGTACAGGTCCTGGCTTCCTTCCAGGCCCTCTTACATACGGTTAGCTCTTGCCCACCTCCTGGTCAGACCAAATCCTCCATGTCCCTTTACCACTTCCATGTCCCTTTACCACTTCTCAGCAAGGCTGATTCCCTGCTGGGGAGTCCCTGGGGCCTCTCTGGGCTCCCACCTGCTCACCTGCTGAAGGCCAACCTTTCTGGGGAAATCACTGGTTTGTGAAAACAGAGACAGGCCCCTGTCCTGCTGAGCTCCATCCCACTCCCTGAGCAGGTACTCAGGTCAATGCCCATTGGAAGGAGAAAGGAACAAAAAAAAGCTTCCTTCTCCCCTGCCTTCCTGGATTCCCAGGGAAGCCCCAGGAGCTCTGGTATACTGAGATCTAGGGTAGCACCTGGGGCCTGACGCGTGCTGCCCCTCGTCCCTTCCTCCTCTACCTGATGCAGCGAGCTTGTACACAGCTTCGCCTGCCTGCTCCACAGCATTGGGCTGGTAGGGGACCAGCGATCCCGGGGGCAAACGGGAGGTCAGATAGGCCAGACATTCCTCCAAGGGCTGCTCTTCCTCCGAATCCAGAGTCAGTTTGACCTGGTAGTAGTTGCTACCCCAGTCCGGGTAGGAACCCAGGCTGAGGCTACGCCCAAAGTGGGCCTGGGCCTCGGCCAGGACAGGGGCAATGGAGGCCTCACCCACGGCCACATACAGTTCCCGCGAGTGGAATCGGACTGCTGTGTTCTGGAATAGTTCCTTCAGCCCTTCCAGCACCCGTTTCAGCAGCTCTGGGATGCCGGGGAAGAGGTAGACATTTCGGACGGAGACCAGCGGGAACCTGAAGGGGTGCCCCGTGCGGGGGTCCGTGCCATAATGCAGACGGGCAGAGGAAGGCACCAGTGTCAGCTTCTCCCAGCCCTCACTGCCGAAGGCTTTGATGGCCGCTTCCAGCTCGGGGTGTGGTTGTAGCTGATCTCCAAAGGCTTGTGCTACTGCCTCAAAAGTCACGTCGTCGTGCGTGGGGCCGATGCCACCCGCGGTGAGGACGTGGGTGAAGCGGCTGGAGAAGGCGGTGATCTCAGCGGCGATGGTGGCCACTTCATCTGGCACGACAGAAACCCGGCAGACCTGAACCCCCAGGGAACGCAATGTCCGGCACAGGAAGTAGGTGTTCGTGTCCTGAGTGTGGCCCTGGGCAGGTGGTGGGAAGGGGAGGGGAAGACTGTCAGTACTGTGTGGATGGAGAGGAGGGGAGAGAATATGACCGCTGGCACCTGCTGCTGATGGGGGTACTCTGCTGTTTGGCGGGACGCTTTAGGCTGCAGAGGGGCCTGCACGGAGCAAGCCTACTAGAATGGAGTCAGGGAGAGTGCACATCACCAAGGTTGGTGGACTGAGAGCTCACTCAACTCTCCCTCGGAAATGTTTCCTGCTCTGTTCTCCTCTATCCCCAGGGCCACCAAGCAGGTGCATGGTACTTTTCACCCGGACAATGGTAACTGCTGCATGGTTGGGCTCCTGGCCTGCATCCCCTTCTCTGCTTGGGGTCTGCTGAGTAACCTTCCTCATGCGTCACTGCCATTGCATCACTCCTGGCTCAGCAGCCGTTTGTTGTTGCCAACTGTATACAGAATAAAGTTCATGTTCCTTTGCTCTTTTCTGAGGCGGTTTGTACTGTGCACCTCATTTTCTTTTCTGACCCCATATGCTCCTGATTCTCTATGGAGGAGTTATTGTTTCAGAATTTGCACTCTGGAGTAAGGGAAAAAAATCAAGCTGCTGGCCCGTTGCTATCATTTCCTAGGGCTGTCACCTTGGGAAGCCCTCAATCCAGACTCAGTCAAACAACCTACTAACAGGGGCTGGTGTGGTAGCTCAACATGTTAATCCTCCACCCTCAAACAGTGGGATCTCATAAGGGTGAAGGTTTGTGTCCCGACTGCTCCACTTCCCTGCTTGTGGCCTGGGAAAGCAGTTGAGGACGGCCTGAAGCCTTGAGACCCTGCACCCATATGGGAGACCTAGAAGAAGCTCCTGGTCCTGGCTTTGGATCAGCTCAGCTACAACCATTGTGGTTGCTTGGGGAATGAGCCAGGGGATGGAAGATCTTTCTGTCTCTCCTACTTTAACTCTGCTTTTCCAATCAAATAAATATATTACAAAATAAGAGAGTAACCTACTACCTGAGGTTTATAATGAAAGTAACAATTGATAGTTACTGTGTGGATTAGGAAAACCAGGTAGGTGATGAAATAAGCTTATTGCCAGCCCCTGGGAAGCTCTCAAAAAAAAAAAAAAAAAAAGGGCGGGGGGCTAATTTTTTTTTTAAGATTTATTTATTTATTTTTTTTTATTGGAAAGGCGGATATACAGAAAGGAAGATCTTTCATCTGATGATTCACTCCCCAAGTGAGCCGCAACGGCTGGTGCTGTGCCGATCTGAAGCCAGGAACTTCTTTCAGGTCTCCCACATGGGTGCAGGGTCCCAAGGCTTCGGGCTGTCCTCGACTGCTTTCCCAGGCCACAGGCAGGGAGCTGGAAGGAAAGCGGGGCTGCCGGGATAGAACCGGCATCCATATGGGATCCCGGGTGTGCAAGGCGAGGACCTTAACCACTGCACCACCGCGCCGGGGGGCCCCCCCCTGCCATTCTTGTATGAGACCCATGGAGTTCTAGGCACCTGGCTTTAACCAGAATTGGCTTGAGCTATTACAGCCATTTGGGGTGTAAATCAGCAGATGTAAGATTGTCACTCTGTCCTTCAAATAAATCTTTAAAAAGAAATATAGCATTGGGGCGGGCCCTGGGGCACAACAGGTTAAGCTTCCACCTGAGGTGCCTGTATCTTCAGTGGTGCTAGCCCAAGTCCTGGCTGCTCCAATTCTGACCCAGTTCCCTGTTGATGAGCCTGGGAAGGCAGCAGGAGATAGTGCAAGTTCTTGGGCCCCTGCTACCCACAAGGGAGACCAGGAAGAAGCTTCAGGCTTTGTTCTGGCCCAGCTCTGGACTTTGCAGCCACCTGGGGAGTGAACCAGCATACAGAAGCTCTTTTTCTGTTTCTACTCCTCTCTAACTCTTTCAAATAAATAAAAAAATCTTTCCCCAGGAAAAAAAAAATCAAAGAAAGACACCTCCTTCATGTCCTTGGGCTTGCTGTCCTGGCTTCCTAGCCCTGCTTCTACCTCACCGCCTGGCACCTTGCAGGGACTCTGTTCCAAGCTTTCCAGCAGTCATTGTGAGTGAGGAGGACCGCAGTTCCTCCGAAGCATGGGAGTTCCTCGGGGTGGGGCTCCTACTGCAGTCCACCCTGGCTCGCTTCCCTCAGCGGGGCCCCAGCAGCCCTCGCCCCGCCCCTCTCACCCCATAAAGTCGCAGATGTACCTTGAGGATCTCGTCTCCGACAATGATGATGCCCGCTGTCACGCTGCGCCCTGGGGGCGGCTCGGAGGCCCTAGATGCCATGCTTCTGTCCTCTCTGCCTCTGCGCCAGGCCCTCCAGTAGGCACCCAGACCCCCGGACAGGGGCCGAAAGCGGTGGAGGCCTGCCAGCTCTACAGGGCACTGGGGGCTATAGCCCGGGAACCGGCTCCGGGGTCCAGGGAACCTGGAGGAGCCAGAAAGGACAAGGCGGGAGCCCAGGCACGCACGGTCTTCCCTCAGTCGCCTCCAACGAAACCTTTGACGAGCGACTCCCCAACACCACAGCCCATGCTCTATTAGAGGTCCTCGACAGAAGGTTCTAAGTCTCCTTGGACTGTTCGACTTACCATTTTTAAGTGTTATCTACTCTATCTCGGGAACCTGCGCCTTTAAATGTCTTTCCGGTGCAGGGAATCTGCTCCTTGAAACCTCATCCAGAACCTTGACTCTTTGAAATGCATTCTCTCCTCCCCCACTCAGCCGGCCCTCCTGCACCCCGCCTAGCCCGGATTCCTTCTGTGCCCATCAAGTTTCGGGTGGGGGAGATGTTTCAAGTTCTCACCTGCCCACTTAGCCCCTTCACCGGGTTGTTTTCCTCTTTCCTTGCTTCATGTCCCGGGACGGCTTCCGTACTCCAAATCCCGCCCCATTCAGATGCTTCACGCCGATTGGCTAGTCTTGCTGCCGTTTAGATTACCCTGCAGGATTCCATAGGTGTGGTTGACTGTCGCTCTCAGGCTTTAGCCAGCGAGCGGGACCAATGCTAGGTTGTTATTGGCGACAGCACAGGGTCAGGGCCTTCCGGAAGGTGGGGAGGGCGGGACCCGGAGCAGAGGGCTGATTGGCGGCCCTGGATGCCCGGCGGCGCTTCCTCCTGCCCCAGCAGGTGCAGGGCAGCTTCTAACCTCCGTTCCGTGCTCCATCTATCGATCTAGCTACTTGGTTCTTGAGTCTTGGCTGGGCCCAGGGCTCGAGAGTTGGTGCTGGCTTCAGAAGGGATTCTCATCTTGTAGTCGCAGCTGGGGGCACGCCGACACAGGCAGCAGCGGTGCCCGTCGAAGAGGTGGCATTTGGATGTGCGGAAGCTTCTTTTAGCTCTGGTATTCAGGGTATTTTTTCAGCCTCTTTTGGCGAGGAAGCGTGCTGCTACTTCTTTGCCCCAGAGGGTGCTCGCGCTCCTCTCCCTCCCTCCAGGTTTTAAGCACAATGGAGGCCACCTGCCGGGATGTTGCTGTTGCTCTAATAGCTCAGCTTAAATGCTAATGTTTGCGCTAATCACCTGCATATCTGCACGACGCAAACTGAGAAAGTTTGGATGGGAACCGAGTCTGCATCTAGCCAGAATCTTCAGGTGCTGCTGGGCTGTGGGATTTTTTTTCCGGGTCTAAAGTTCATGCCATTGTTTGCAGGCGTAGGGAGCCACACCTGGCTTCATTTTATCCTACCAAATCCCTAGAGTTAACACACCCATTTCACAGAACACAACTCAAAGACAAGGGGTTGCCATGAAACCACAACATATACAAGAGGTGAAGCTAAGCTTCAAGACCATTCTTTCAGTAAGCCCAGGGTTTTTACAAAATGTCAGCAACTCCCCACACCTGGGCAGAAAGGAGGCAAAACTCCCAGTTGTCTAATGATATAAGCCACATGCCTCCTGAAATGATTCTCTTCTGATCCATTAGGCTTTTTTTTCTCAAGATTTATTATTTTTAATGGAATGCAGATTTACAGAGAGAGACAATAAGGTCTCCCAGCCACTGATTCACCTTCCATATGGATGCAAAAGGCTGGAGCTGAGCTGATTCTAAGCCAGGAGCTTCTTCCAGGTCTCCCGTGTGGGTGCAAGGTCCCAAGGTTTTGCTCCATCCTCTGCTGCTTTCCCTAGAACATAAGCAGGGAACTGGATCTGCCGGGGCACAAGCGTCTGCCTATAAGAGATGTGGCGTCAGCCACAGCAATGAGTTTGGAAGCATAAAACACTACCAGGTTCACTCCCCTCAGTTCAGAGAGCCCAAATATCTGCATTTCTAACAAACTTCCAAGTAATATTGATGCCTGTGGTCCAGAAAGGTTATTTTGAAGAACTTTTCTAGAAATAAATGGAAGGTAGAAACGCAAAACAACTAATCTCCCTTACTCAATACTACGTCTGCTGAAGCAAATACTTTACACCTGCTTTCTCAAAGTTTAGTACTTAACTACTTACATAAAACTGTTTGAAATCCCTACATTGTCCACACCCCAGACCAAAACATTAGTAAACTTAGGAATGAGGCTGGCATCATCAGTACTTACAAAGCTCCCTGGGAGATTGAGAACACCCCAACTACAGACATGGGGTGTGTAGAACTGGGGCACCTAAGTTCGTAGGTGCCTCCCTTTATTCTTGTGTGCTCCCAAATATTTGGACTTGGGGCTGGTGCCATGGCTCAACTGGATAATCCTCCATGTATAAGCACCAGCATCACCTATGGGTACTGGTTCATATCCTAGCTGCTCTACTTCTCACCCAGCTTCCTGCATGTGACCTGGGAAAGCAGTAGATACTTTGGAATCCTGTACCCATGTGGGAGACCCGTTAGAAGCTCCTGGCTTTGGATGGGCTCAGCTTGAGTCTCTGCAGCCATTTGGGGAGTGAAAAATCTTTCCAACAGAAATAAATCTTTATGAAAAAACCTGGGGCTCAGTTAAAGACAAGTTTGTTGACTGTGGGAAACAGTTCACTTGTTTTGATGAGATGGAGTTGTCCCCATATAACCTCTGCCTCAGGCTAGTAGAGTGAAATATATATTCCCGTTGTTGCTGGGCAGCAAGCCTGCCTAAAGTAGATTAAAAACCAGTTACTTCACTGTTCAAATAAATTGCATTATCAGCAAAGTGCTAAGCGTCATTATGCAACTGAAGGGCATATAATCTGAACACTGACAGTGAATGTGATGCCTCCAGCTAGAGTCGGTTTATAAAAAGGATGTATATAAATTTATAAAAATGTTCTCTTTAATTAAGGCTTTTAACGTGGAACAGATTTCTCATATAAAATAGAAGTTTCCAATACATCGCAACATAAGAAAAAAAAAAAATCAAGTCCTTGTATGTACAACATCTGGCAGAAAACGAAAACAGAAACAGTGAGGTCACAGGATCCCGGTGACACTAGGGTCTTCCTCTCGGAGCCCCGCTCCATCCGCCTGGCATGCTCTGCGGGACCACCTGTGGCTGTGGCTCACAAAGTACTCCTCTGGCTGGTGAGGCAAAGACAAGCAGCAAGCACCACATTCCCACAGTGTACTGAACATCCTTTAAATACTCAAGTGAGGAACAGGAAGGCGATGTAATGTTATCAGAAGGGTGTTAGGAACGAAGGGCAGCTGTTGGAGCCCAGGACTGCCAAGTGGCTCCCAGCTTCATTTGTCTGGTTTCTTCGGCAGCGGCCTCCGGAACAGCAAGATGTGGGGCTCTGAAAGAGGGAGGGACCTCTGAGATAGGCTCGCCCCATTCAGTTCTCAACAGCACCAAAAGTGAATCCCAACGCCTCCCACCTATCACCCACTCAGATCTTCATAACTAAATTCAGACTAAACATATGGCCTTAGCAACAGACTCAGAAGTTGGGCCTGCCTGCCAAGCAGGGAATTATGACCATCAGCTCCTTCACCGTGTTTCTACAGCCCCAGAAAGGGATGGGGGGACCCTCATTAGTCTGGCCTGGCAGCTATTGTCTGGTTTTTAACCAAGAAACAGGAATGTGCTTTCCGGCAGGGAAGGAGGCGGGAGCCATGAGTAAAACCAGGGTATGCATCTGGCCTTAAACAAAATGCCCATGAGGTAGCTTACTCTTATTTCTCATCACTCCAGTTTGGTTCAAATGGCAAAGCAGCTGCAAATGTCCTCCCCCCCCCCCCCCCTGTTTACTCAGGTTCTGGAGCTGTGTTCCTCCATTCGCTCAGAGCTGCACTGAGCCCCCACACTGACCTGGTTCATGGATCATATAGTGGACCCATCCCTGACTCTGCTGCACACCCAGATTCCTCCATTCAGACTCAGACATCAGATGGGTTTTGGGGACCAGCTTGGCGATGTCCTTGGGCAGCATGACATGCCTGTAACAGAAACACAGGGGTATGGAGCACTCCGTTCAGTTCTGGATACCCCATCTCTTGGATACAGTAAAGTGCCTGGATCCAAGCCAAGGAAAGAAAGAGAAGCTTGTTTCTGGCCTCCAGGAGTTTCTGCAACCCTGTTGTGGGGTAGAGGTGGCTGGAAATACTGGCCAAGTTATGTGAAGCCTCACAAAGGCAGGTTAAAGAGTACAAGTGAATGAGCAGTTCTAAAGAATGAACGTTTGGGTTCCAGGCACCACTGATGTTTATAATTCTGCCTCCTACAGGATCATCTGGTAGATTACCCGCCATGCACCGGGATCCTCCAAGAGTGCTTGGTGCCGGTCACGTAGGGAGTCATCGTGTAGTTTAGGAGTGGAGTGTGTAAGACCCACCATAGAAGGTGGGGCTCTCGTTGGACTTTTTAAAAAATCGTGACACTCATGTTCCTAACTGGGAAGGGATGTGCCATGAGCCGTGAGAAATCCCAGCTTCCCCACCAAGGGTAAATCTCCATGGCGAAGACATTATCCTGTGACTCAATCACACCGGCCCGGGTTGACGTCATCACGCACAACAAAAATGTTCCAAGTGCTCTCCCTGCACTAGTTAGTGAAGGTTTGCTTCTCCCCCCCTTCTAAAGAGTTAATTCTAGTCTGAATGTTTGAAAATAGCTCACACTATAACCAGCCCCTGGAACAAAAATCTGGCAAAACAAAAACAAAAAAGTTCCTCTCTTAAACCAAATGCCACTGCCAAACTACCAGTTATGTCTCCTGAGGGCTGAAGGCAGTGATTTCTCCCGGCCCTGCAGGGCCCTGCAGACGTGTCACCCGCAAACAGCGTTGGGCGTGGATGTAGAGGGAAGCAGCTGAGGGAGATCAAAGTAATGGAGCCCAAGAGCCGCCTCGGGGGATCCCGGCTTTTCAAAGTTGGTTAACGGGGCTGGTGAACCCTCACCAGGTGCCTGAAGGCACCAACAGGGTGGAGTGAAGAAACAAGCTTCCCCCAAACCTAGGAATAGTCTTTAACTATTACAAGGAACGCAGACATTTGGACAATTGCGTCCTCCCTCTCTTTCTTATTATGGGCTCAGAATTCTGACCCCAAACACTTTACCCATCTTGGCTGTGCGGTCAGGGATTGCTGGTCTCTTTCTCTCCCCACCCTGTGTCCCCCGTCACATCCTCCATAGACTTCAGGGCCCCGAACTGACGGCGGAGCCGCGCCGTGTCGTAGGCAACCCCCTCCCACGGACCCTTTCTTCGCCGCCTCCTGCCTTGGAAGCTAGATCACCAAACGGCCCCTGAATAAAAACATCCACTTTCTCCAAACGCGGGAAGCCTGGCTCTGCTTTTGGCCGCCTTCACCCGGCGGATTCGACAGCAGCTCCCCAGTATGCCGAGACGAAGCGCTCGAGACGCACAAGGGTGGACGAAGGTGGTTAGATTCCACATCCCACTGCTTTTCACGATCGCTAGACCCCCTTCACGCATGCGCCTGTCACCTGGGGAGCTGCTCGCCCCCTCCCTTGGCGCAGGCGCGTTCCGCCCCGCGCCCACCTCGCCCGTTAGGCTCCCGCGCATGCGCACGCCCACCCCGGCCGCCTCCGTCCTCGTCTTCGCTCCTCCAAGACTCACGGCCTCACTGCGGTCCCCCTACCCCACGCCGGCACTAACCGGTATTCGAACTCCTCGTCGTCATATTTATCCGAATAATAAATCTGTTTGTGCGACATAACTCGGCCTGAGGGTGAGCAGCCCCGCGCGGCCAACCTCTCAACTCCCGACAACACGCGCTCCCACCCTCTTTGGCCTCACTTTCAAACACACCGCCCGCGTTTCCTATTGGTCTCCCGGGCTCGAGGCGGGACAGTTCCACCCTCAAGGCCTCCGATTGGTTTAGTCGTCCATGCGCCTCTAGCCCTTATTGGACTATCCCCCTTACGTTTCTCAAGGCCGGGATTTGGGGCAAAGCTAGGCTTCTTATTGGCTCATACGACTCTTGTGTACGTTTTGGCGCTACTATTGGCTGGCTCGAGAAAGTGGGCTGGGCGAAGGCGGGACCGTGAGGTGGAGGGTCAGGGGTTAGTGGGGCCGGAAGTGAGTGTAATAAAGTTTCTCCAGGGAGGTTGGGCCGGGGGAGAAAGTTGGAGCGGCGACCTAAACCAGGCAGTGGCGTGATCCGGAACCAGATCGGCCCGCGGTGCGGTGCGGAGACCCCATGAAGCCCTGGTGAGTTTGATTTTTTTTGGTCGCCTTAGGCAACCCACTCCTCCACCCCGGAACCCCTCTCCCGGGACCCCACTTCCGGTCTCCAGGACAAGTTCCGCCCCTGAGACCCCCTCCCCGGAAGTCCCACCCCCCAACTTCAGGGGGCTCCCTGAACCCCGCAGGTTTTTCTCATTGTTTTGTCTCTGACCTTTCCCTGGAAGCCCAGCTTTCCTGGAAGTCCCTCCCCCAGACGTGTTTCTGAGTCTCACTGGACACCTTCGCTAGTCTTCTCAAGCTCCGCCTCCTCCCCCCGGTATTCCACTAGCTCCTGTCTGTCAAAAGCCCCGTCTCCCGAGGGCCCGCCCCTCAAAGCTCCGCCCCTTAGCTGCTGTCCGTCAAAGCCTGCCTCCCTAACTGGCAAAGCTTGGCTCAGCCCGAAGGTCACGCCCAGAGTTCCGCCCCTCAGAGCCCCGCCTCTTCCGCCGTCCACGTCTTGGAGTCGAAGTCTACCGCAGCGCGCATCCTTGGGGACCACGCCCCCTTTGTCCTTTTTCCCCCTACATTCCCTAATTCCCTTCGACTTGGCGGTGTTCTCTGGGGCCTCGGGCCCAGTGTTTTCCCGCTCACTGCAGGCGGCCGCTCGCCTTTTCCTTTGCCGGCCTGCGCCGGCGTGGACCTGCTTGGTGGCGGACGGACTTGGGGTCTGGACCAAGAGTGGGAGAGAGAAATGCTCCCCCCTCATGGAGTTTCCCTTTTAGGGCCCATCCTGCCACAGACATAGCTGTAGTTTGTAGTCTCTGTGGCCAGATGGGGCCGTGGAATTGTTGATGTGATGGAAATGTCTACTGTCAGAAAAAGGCGGTTTGGGATGGGGAGTAGGGATTCCTGGCGCGTGCGCGCGCGCGTGTGTGTGTGTGTGTGTGTGCGCGCGCGCGCGCGCGCGGCCGCATTCATCAGGCTCTAACCCTCTGGCTCTTCCCCTCCCCTAACCAGCCTTCTTGTCTGGGCATTCCTCCTGGCTCCTTTTATCCTGCCTTCCCTGCTGGTAACATTCCTGAGGCTTTCGCCATTTCCTGCTCCTTCCCGCTCCTCTCGCCTCCTCCCCTCCAACACCCAGGCCTCTGGACTTCCGAGTAGGCTTTAGCCTTTCTTCCTATGCAAAGCTAGCATCCTGCTTCCATTTTCTTCTAAGTGCTCACACCTGTGGGTCATTGCCTACCTGCTGATACTGCAGGCTCCCAGAGACATGCCATCCCTGTGTGTGTGTGTGTGTGTGTGTGTGTGGAATGTGAAGCCAGGGCAGACACCTTTCCTTCTCTCTGCCTGAGACCTGAGGTCTTAGGAAATGGAGCGCTAGAATTCCTTCTCAGGAGTGGCAGATGGAATGCCCAGCTTCCATGAGGAGGACTGTACCTGGCTAGCACAGTTAAAGTGCTAGTATTGGTAATCGATACATGTATATATAATGATTTGAATTAAATCTAGGGGTAACTGTGAGGAGAGCCGTGGAGGAGGAGGAGGAGAGGTGCTCTACTTTATGTGTTTTGATCATTTTCCAACTTCCTCTCTGGCTTCCTCAAGCAGCACTGTGGCAGGAAGCTGTGGGTGGAAGGATGGGTTTGGAAGGACTCTGCGTGTCCGGCTTCTGCCCGCTCTCTTCCCCATACCCTTTTCTGCTGTCTTACTAGCACACCTCTGTGTCCTGACCTCTATAGCCCCTCATGACTCCTTCCCTAGGGTGAGGACCACTGTCCTATGTTGTGGGGCAGGTGGAGTGGTGTCAGAGGAGGGTGTGAATCTGTTTGCCTGGCAAGCCCAGGGATGCCTTGGACAGTGTCCTGCCCCCTCCTCCCTCTTTGCAGTGTGCTTTGCTGATTAGGCCTCCTATGGGATAGGGGCAGAACAGGGTCCAGCCGGACACTGAGGTGCCACGAGCAGAGAAAGGCTTGCCCAGCTCCTTGGCAGATCCCTCCTGGGTTGGGCTTTATTCCCTTCCCTTCATGAGCTTTGCCCTTCCTCTTGGTCCCACTGTGCATCCACTGGGACCATTTGTTTTGTCATTCCCCAGCTGGTGTAGCCGAAGATGCTAATGGCCCAGGCTCCCTGGGACCATCATCACCCCACTATGCGTGGTAGTGATGAGACACCAGTGGCCTGGGCTGGCCCATGGTGGAATTTGAGTGCTCAACCAGGACAGGAAGGGAAATCTCCTCCCTTTTCCATGGCCAGCTGCCTCGATTTCCTCCCTCATTCCCCCAGCCTTCCCCTGGCTTCCTGCATCCTTTGGCCTGCCCATGTCCGGTTTGGATTGATCCAGACCTTCTCTTATCTCCCTCCTTTTCTTCCTCCTGCATCCTTTCCTCCCAGCTCCCACCACTTCCTCCCCTCTCCACTGGTTGGTTGGTTAGGGTAGGGGAGAGGGGCAGGAGAGCTCTACCCTCTTATCCTGGCTCGGAGTTCTGGGTTGGGGCGGTGGCAGGAGGGGCTGGAGGGGGGAGCTCAGCCCCTTGGAGCCTGTGAGTCAGCACTGCTCTCAGGATTGGTCTGGCCGCTCAGCTCCACGCCCTTGGGGAGGAGCCAGGCAGCCCTGGGTCCAGCCAGGTCCTTCTCTGCCAGAGAAGAGGCTCCACGCTGGGCTGGGCGGGGATGGGGCCCGAAACTGTCCAGGGCTGAGCTGGGGGAGCAGAAACTACTTGTCCCTCTCCCTCCCCAGGACCCCCTGTCGCTCCTGGGCCACCGAGGTCCCTTGGGCTAAAGGCTTGGGGATGCCCCCTGCCTGGCCCCCTTGCCCCAGCTGGCAGGGGGGCCGGGCCGGGCAGCAGCCCTGCTCTTATCCCAGCCATGGATCTCTTGCCCCCCAAGCCCAAGTACAACCCACTTCGGAATGAGTCTGTGTCCTCGCTGGAAGAGGGGGCTTCAGGGTCGACGCCTCCGGAGGAGCTGCCATCCCCCTCTGCCTCCTCCCTGGGGCCCATCTTGCCTCCCCTGCCCGGTGACGACAGCCCCACCACCCTGTGCTCCTTCTTTCCCCGGATGAGCACCCTGAAGCTGGCCAACCCAGTTGGGGGACGCCTGGGATCCAAAGGGGAGCCAGGCAGGGCGGCAGCTGAGGACAGGGAGGGGCTTGCAGGGGCAGCCATGCCGGACTCAGGCCCCCTGCCCCTCCTCCAGGACATGAACAAGCTGAGTGGAGGCGGCGGGCGCAGAACTCGGGTGGAAGGGGGCCAGCTGGGGGGCGAGGAGTGGACCCGCCACGGGAGCTTTGTCAATAAGCCCACGCGGGGCTGGCTGCATCCCAACGACAAAGTCATGGGACCTGGGGTTTCCTACCTGGTTCGGGTGAGTGACCGTCCCTCCCACTCCCTCCTGTGATGTCCCTGCAGTTTCTGCATGCGCTCGCTGGCTGCTGCTTCGCCAGTCTTTCTCTGCTAACCCCTCTGTGTTGGTGTCGTGCTTCTCAACCTTTCTTGCCTATTCTCTGGTCCCTGCCAGGCTTTCCCTTTCCAACCTTGCCATGCTTCACACAATGCCTAGCACCTCCAGAGGCAAATGTTGGGGTGACATTGAGACCTCCCTTTTTTTCCTGGAGATGTCACTCAATCCCACCCAGTGCCTGTCATGCCCCTCCTGAGCCTTCTTCCTTCCCAGTGCATGAGTGGCTCCTGGCTTGTCCTGTCCCTCACTGCTTAGTGCTTGGTCTCTTTTGCACAGTGGGATGTGGCCATGGCAGGGGATGAGCTGCCTCAGCTTTCCTTCCCTTAGGGACTATAGAAGGAAGAGTCCTGGAGCCTCTAGCATGGGCGCAGGGGCGGAGGAGGGAGAGGTGTATGAACTGTCATCCTCTCTTTCCTCTGCCCTCAGTACATGGGTTGTGTGGAGGTCCTGCAGTCCATGCGTGCTCTGGACTTCAACACCCGGACCCAGGTCACCAGGTTAGTGAGAAGGGCGTGTGGGAATCTATGGCTTGGTGACTCTGTGGGGCCCCAGGTGTGGGTGCTGGTACTCACGAGACCTTCCCCCCCCATCCCTGTGGGGTGGGTAGGTGGGTTGAGAGAAAGGTAGAAAAGCAAATCCAAGTTTAAGTGCAAAGGGTTCCATCTTGACTGGGGTCCTCCTTACCTCTCCAGCTTTCAGGGTTATGGGCAAGTGGAGCTGGGGTAGGAAGTAGGGTTAGATGGGAGGCAGCTGACTACTGCCTCTGGAAAGGCACTGGGAGGTTGGGGAGCTGGAAGGGGGTGGCGCCATCCCCATTGAAGCCCTAACCCAATCAGCCAGGAAGCGGCCTCTCAGTGTCATCAAATATTAAAGGCCTTTAATTCAATCCACCACGACGACAAAGAGCCTGGAGTACCCTGGGAGTCTGGCCTGGCCTTCCCCTCCCCCAGCTGGGGGTGGGGCAGAGGGAAGCTGTGGGTCTGAATCCTTCTCCCCCCCCCCCCCCCCCCCCCCCCCCCGTCTTTCCTCAGGGAAGCCATCAGTCTGGTGTGTGAGGCTGTGCCAGGTGCTAAGGGAGCCACCCGGAGGAGGAAGGTACCTGAGGTTCATTGATGGAGCTAGGGCAGTTGCTGGAAGGGGCGGGGAACAGGGCCCAGCGGAGGCCAGGAGGCAGGATTCCCAGTCTCTGAGCCCCTGTGCCCCTTTGCAGCCCTGTGGTCGCCCACTCAGTTCCATCCTGGGCAGGAGTAACCTGAAATTTGCCGGAATGCCAATCACCCTCACTGTCTCTACCAGCAGCCTCAACCTCATGGCCGCCGACTGCAAACAGGTGGGTAGGGTTGGGTAGGGGGAATGAGAAACTTGGACAGCAGAGTAGAGGGCGGGTGCAGTGATGAAGCCAAAATCTAGAGCAGAGGGCCTTGGAGTGATCAGACAGCAGGCAGAAACAGGGCTAGGAGGCGAGAGGAGGAGGCTGGGACACCAGAGTTCTCCTGGGCTGGGGGGTGGGCAGCCTGACATGCATTATTCCTCTCTTTTTCCACCCCCGTTCCAATTCTCAGATCATTGCCAACCATCACATGCAATCTATCTCATTTGCATCTGGCGGGGATCCGGTGAGTTGAGGAACGGAGCACAGGTCATGGGAGAAGAGTGAAGGGGCTAGTGGTTGGGAAGCCACTGACCAGGGCATTGGGGGCACTTGGGTTGCCAGGGCACCTGGAAAAGGACTGGATCATGGGGGCCAGGTAGAGCTAGAAAGTTTTGCTAACTTGCCTCTCCTGACCGTCCACCATAGGACACAGCCGAGTATGTCGCCTATGTTGCCAAAGACCCTGTGAATCAGAGAGGTGAGGCATGGTGGGGGCACAGGGTGGGGCTGGCTATCCCGGAGGCAGATGAGCAGGGTCAGGGTTGTCTTTCCCTGGTTACTGAGCAGAGATGAGGAAGAACTCCTGAGGCACATGAGGGCCCCTCTCTATGACCCCTTCCTCCCACCTCTGGGCTCATTGGCAGCCTTTACTGTGCCCACAGCCTGTCACATCCTGGAGTGTCCTGAAGGGCTTGCCCAGGATGTCATCAGCACCATTGGCCAGGCCTTCGAGTTACGCTTCAAACAATACCTCAGGAACCCACCCAAGCTGGTCACCCCCCATGACAGGTGAGCACAGTGCTGGGGTTGGGGGGCTCCAGGCCCAGGCAGGGAATGGCGGCCTTCTCTTCCCATGCTGGAGCTCAGGGAGGCTCAGGGAAGGAAATAACCTGTGTGCCCTGCTTCCCACTTCCTGCAATTCTTAGGTTTCCGGTGGCCATTAGGCCCGCCTGCTGCAGGGCCAGCTCTTCCTCTGCCTGCCTGCCCGCCCGCCTGCCTGTCTGCCTGCCTGTCTGCCTGCCTGCCTGTTGGGCGGCTGGGTTTCCAGGCCTCCACACTGTGCCTCTTCCTCTGGCTGTGGGAGCTTTCCTGACACCTTGTTTCTGGGCTCACCATCTTTCCGGCCCATTTCTCTCTCTCTCTCATCTTCTGTGTCTTCCTGCTTTTAGAATCCATCAAGTGCATGGCTCTGGGAGAGTGGCTGTTTGTCCTGAGAGCCCTGCCTCCCCCACCACAGGCTTCAAGGACCGAGCAGCAGGAGCAGTATGGATAGTGTATCTGAAGTTAAAATATTCAATCACATGCCCTCCCCTCGGGGGTCCTGCTCCTTCCCTCTTGGGAGATAGCTTCTGTGAGCAAGTGCATGAGCTGTACAGTCCAACCTGAATTTAAACCTCAGCTTTGCAACCTGTTAGTTGGGAGGGCCAATCATTTCACCTCTCACCTTCATTTTCCTCTTCTATACAAGTGGGGAAGGAAAGCATTACCTGACAGGGTGGCCAGAGGGTGAAATGACTTGTACCTGTAAAACACCTTGAACCTATAAACCCAGCCTTAAGCCTGTCTGACCCAAAGACCCCATGTGTATGCAGTTCCCCTCCTCCTGCCCCACCGCTTCTTCACACCCTCCTGCCTCACTCCTTCCTGTCCCCCTCAGAATGGCTGGCTTTGATGGATCGGCTTGGGATGAAGAGGAGGAAGAGCTCCCTGACCATCAGTACTATAATGACTTCCCGGGGAAAGAACCCCCTCTTGGGGGGGTGGTAGACATGAGGCTTCGAGATGGAGCCGTCCCCGGGGCTGCCCGACCCACCCCACCCAATGCCCAGACCCCCAGCCACTTGGGAGCCACTCTGGTGAGTTGCTGGGATGGAGGTGGGCTGGGCCTGGGCTGGGCAGGACTGCTGCTCTCACGTTAGTTTGATTCCCTGCAGCCTGTAGGGCAGCCTGTCGGAGGAGAGCCGGAAGGCCGCAAACAGATGCCGCCTCAACCAGCTTGCCCAGGTATGAAGGGAGCTTTTTATTGTACTTATTTGAGAGGCAGAATCAGAGAGAGAGAAAGCAAGCTCCCATTCACTGGTTTGCTCCCTAAATGCTCAAGAGCAGCTAGAACCTGGGTTGGGGCTGAAGCCAAGAGCTAGAAACTACATGGAGGGACCTCTCCTGTGGACAGTAGGAACCCAGTTAGGAGCCTGTCTTAGAAGCTGCCTCCTAGGGTCTACATGAGCAGGAAGCTGGGATCAGGAGCTGGAGCTGGGTGTTGAACCGAGGCACTGTGGTATGAAATGCAGGTGTTTTAGCTTTGAGGCCACACACTTGCCCCTGAAGGGAACTGAGGGTGGGGATGAGCCAGGACTGCGGCAGGCAGGGCTGGGAACACTGTGGAGCATCCCTTCCCTCCGCAGGTAGAGAGCTCTTTGATGATCCCTCCTATGTCAACGTCCAGAACCTAGACAAGGCCCGGCAAGCAGCAGGAGGGGCTGTGCCCCCCAACACCACCACCAATGGCAGTGCACCCCGAGACCTGTTTGACATGAGTGAGCAGTACTCTTTGCTTTCTGCATTGTCCCCACCTTCCCACTTGGGTCCTCTCTCTCCTTACTGTCTGCTCTTCCCATCCTGCAGGTCTGGGTCCTGGGCGTGCATTGCGCCAGCTGCCTTTCCTAGCTCCTTTTCTCTCTCACCCCCCCAGAGCCCTTTGAAGATGCACTTCGGGTACCTCCGCCTCCCCAGTCACTGTCCATGGCTGAGCAGCTGCAACGAGAGCCCTGGTTCCATGGCAAGCTGAACCGGCGGGAGGCCGAGGCGCTGCTGCAGCTCAATGGGGACTTCCTGGTGCGGGAGAGCACTACCACTCCTGGCCAGTATGTGCTGACTGGCCTACAGAGTGGGCAGCCCAAGCACCTGCTGCTGGTGGACCCTGAGGGTGTGGTGAGTGGCAGGGGGATGGGGAGTGGCTGGCAGAAAGGAAGAACTGGCATCCTCTGCTGCAGCCCTCTGCTCTCTCACTGCCTTCTGGGCTCACCCCACTGGGCAGCTGTCTGGCCGTCCCCTGTCTCACACCCCATGGCTCAGGTGTCTTCCTAACAGTCCTGGCCAAGTCCTTAAACCCCTCCCCCTGTCAAACTGAAGCCCCATAGAGCGAGACAGTGCTCCCTGCTTCTGTGTCCCTTCTCTGACAGACCAGGAAGCCAGTGATGGCCCACGGTTAGTGGCCGCACCCTAGCGAGTTTGCTCTCAGACCAGTACCTCACTACTCCTCAGAACTTTGCTTGCTTTCTTTTCTATAGCCTTCCCAGCCTCCTTCCCTCCCTTCCCCATCCCCCTTTTCTTTTTACTAGTAAGACACAGCAACTTCTCATGTGAGGAAAAGTGTAGACTACCCTCCACCTCCCCTGGGTTTCCCTCACTGGCCCACTCCCACAAGTGGCTCTAGCATCTCTAGAGGGCATCACTCACTGCTCGAGACCCCCAGCCTTCACGCCCCCCCACGGTCATTTTGTCTCTGCTCACTCTTCCTGAAGACTGCATTGTCTTCAGGCCCCAGATAGCCCTGGGCCTGACTACTCTTGTAAGCTGAGGTGCCTCTTCCTCCTTCCCTCCTCAGGTTCGGACGAAGGACCACCGCTTTGAGAGCGTCAGTCACCTCATCAGCTACCACATGGACAATCACTTGCCCATCATCTCTGCAGGCAGCGAACTGTGTCTTCAGCAGCCAGTGGAGCGGAAACCATGACCTGGCACCCCACCTCACCCCGGGGCTGTCTTGCAAAAGATGCCCTCAGGCTCCTCCCGTCCTAGACCCTCATTCTCAGGACCTGGAGTGGAAGCTGCGAGTCGTGTGGACCCTGGGGTTAGCGTTCAGCTGAGAGTGGGCAGGAGGATTTGAGTCAGGAGCCTGGGGTAGAATCCTGCTTCTCCCCAAACCTCACCAAAGTATTAATGTGCAGAGTGGCCCCCCTACCTGGGCCTTGCCTGTGCCAACCTGATGCCCCCTGCCGTCAAGAAGGGAGGCACGCATAACGGAAGTGTCCCCAATGATAGGCCCAGTGGAGCAATTGCCCTTTTGGGGAAGGGGGAACATCACACCTCGGGTCTACTACCCCCTGGGCTTCAGGGGACCATAGACCACCCTCAGCAACCTCCCTCCCCCACCCCAATGTTTCAACTTTGTGCCTTTGACCATCTCCTAGGTCTGAAGATATTTTATGCAAAGAGTTCAAGGACAGGGGTGCTGACATCTGCTGGGGCCCTGTCCTGGCTCAGCACTTACTCCAGTTTGGCTTGGGAGAACAGGGCAGCAGTGGCAGCTGCCTACTGTCCCTGGGGGTGTATGCAACCCCATAAGACTGCCCCAGAGCCCCCCTCCCGGCCAGAGGGGAGATGGACCCCCTCCCTTGCTCAGTGCCTCCTGGCCAGGACCCCCTCTCCCCAAGGGGTCTGTATATACATTTCGGAAGTCCTGCCCTGCCCCGCCCCGCCCCTCCCATGTTGCATGCCTATTATTCTCTACAGCCAAAGTGTAGCCCTTCTTCAAGAAGCCCAGCCCTGCCTCTCCCTCCTGGGGTGTGAACTGGAGCCTCCAGTACAGTTAACCCTCCCCAGAGGATTCTGTGGAGGCGCGGGAACAAGGGCCTTGAGAGGAAAGCATCAGACAATCTCCAAGTTGCCATCTGTCGATTTGGACCCGTGCTCATTTTTCACTCGGTGTGCACAGATTTTTATGGCTGTAGGTTTACTTTCTTAGTTTTGTTTTCCATGGCTTTGTTCTTGAGCACAAAAACGATGACGATCAATTACATTTACACATCACCTCTCCGACTCTTTCACGGCCTCTTACCATCATTTTCCTCAGCTGGGCCTAAGAACTAACTAGGACCACTGGTAACATTATCTTGTTTTATTTTTTGTTTTGTTTTAATGAAAGAGACCTGAGGCAGAAATGGCTTTCCAGCTGACTAGGAAAGTTTTGGATCTCTTGCCCTCAGCCTGGGGGACAGGAGTTTGGCCTAGACTGTTGACTGTTGGTTTCACAAAGGGGAAACTTAAAACCTGCAGGTGCACCCCGCCTCCCCTACCATCTAAGGAGGGGCCCTGTGCTACCTGTGGCTAGTCCTGCTGCCTACTAAGGGAGGGGGTGACAGTTTTGATCCCAGCCACCTCCTGTTGTCGCGTTTGGACGTTCTCACGGGTCTCACTTATACCAAAGGGAAATAATCTTCATTAAAGTCCATATTTCTTCTACTTCGGCTTCTCAGTTTGTTTCACAAAGCCTGCTGTTGGCCTGGGCCCTCGGGTGCAGGAGGAGGAGAGGTTCCAGGCCGTTTCTGGTTTCATCTGGCCTGGCCTGGCCCTCGGAGGACTCTCCCACTCCATTGGGACCTGGGCATCCGCGGACTTGGTGTCTGCAGGGCGCGGCAGGGCGGGCGTGGAGAGGCGCGGGGGAGCCGGACTGTCCGCCGGGCGCGGCAGGGCGGGCGTGGAGAGGCGCGGGGGAGCCGGACTGTCCGCCGGGCGCGGCAGGGCGGGCGTGGAGAGGCGGCGGGGCGCAGGGTTCGTCCGAGCCCCACACGCCGTCCCGCCTGGCGGCCGCCACTACCGCCTGCACCTCGCGGGTACGAGCCCCGTCTGCCAGCAATGGTACGGTCCGGCCGAGGAGCTGGCGGGCGCCGCCCCGCGGCGAGTTAGGCCGAGCCGCTCCCTAGCGGGCAAACGGCCATCTCCGCTACCGCCGCGCCGCGGTCCGGTCCCTACCGACTCCCAGGGCTTTCAGGCGCCGAGTCGACCTCCGCCTTCGCTTTCCCTCCCCGCCGCGCTCAGTGGTGGTGTCCGAGTCGAGTTCCGGTTCCGGTTGCTGCTGCTGCTGCTGCTGCCGCCGCTGCTGCAAGCGGGCGGCGAGTCCGGAGCGGGCTCGCCGTGTGGGTGCTTCCCTGCTTCACCAGCACCTTGGGGCTGCAGCAGTTCGGGGGCCCGTGCTGCCCCTGACTCCTCTTCCGGGCGATGGTGCAGCCTGAGGGCGCCTCCATCCCCTGCCGCCGCTGACCCCGGGCCCCCCACTCCATGGCCGCCTCGGCGCCGCCCCCACCGGACAAGCTGGAGGGAGGTGGCGGCCCCGCACCGCCCCCTGCGCCGCCCAGCACCGGGAGGAAGCAGGGCAAGGCCGGTGAGCGAGCTGAGAGGGGCGGGGGCTGGAGAGGTCTCCGAGGGGAACGTGGCGGAGGGTGGTCCTGAAGGCTGAGGGGCTTTACAAGGGCGGCTCGCATGGGTGGGTGTCGCCCCCGGGGCCGGGGGGGACAGGTGTCAGGACTTTCAGGGTTAGAAGCCACGTGGAATTCAGCAGTCAGGTGGAGTCCGATAGTGTCAACAGATAGGATGTCTGTTTTCAAAAATAGTAATGCCACACTCACCACGCGTTTTTCGTATGACACCCTTTGTGAATATTTTGTTAGATAAATAAGCAAGTGTGTATTGGACTTGGCCGAGTGCCTCGCAGCATGGCTGGGGAGAGGGAGGTGGTGGAGAAATCCCCCTGGGGGACATTTGTCTGCCTTTTGCTGCTCCCCCAGGTCTGCAAATGAAGAGCCCAGAAAAGAAACGAAGAAAGTCAAACACTCAGGTGAATGGTGGTGTACGGAGGTGGTGGGGAGGGAGTGGCCAGGAGCCCCTGGCTCTGCCTACTCTGTCATGTTCTGTAGCTCAGCTAGGATCGGGTGCGGGGGAGGGAAACCTGGGGCTTGCTCTGTTGTTTCTGGTTCTTTTCCTTCAACTTCATAACAAACTTAGAGGAGATAGCTCCACCTGAGATCTGGCTGGGCCTGCAGGCAGCCCTGGGAATCAGGCATTGTCCTCGCCTAGCAGATAGGAGAAGCCTGCCTCAGACCTGCTCAGTGAAGCCCTTCCTGTTTTGCAAACCGCATTCCTCACCCTGCTGGGTCGGCTTCCCCTCCCCCTGCGTTTGGAGGTCCTTCCCAGAGCTGGCCAGCCTCTCAGCTTGTGCAGTGCGTTGTGTGTGTGTGTGTGTGTGTGTGTGTGTGTGTGCGCGCGCGCGCGCGCGCGCACGCGCGCTTGTGTCCATGGTACTTTCCTGGTGTGGCCCTATGCCTGCCTTGTGTCTGCCCCCTGACCCTCTGTCTCATCTCTTCCCTGCCAGGGCCCTGCATATTCACATCTGACGGAGTTCGCGCCACCCCCAACTCCGATGGTGGACCACCTGGTGGCGTCCAACCCTTTTGAGGATGACTTTGGAGCCCCAAAGGTTGGGGCCACGGCTCCTCCATTCCTCAGCAGTCCTGTGCCCTTTGGAGGCTTCCGCGTCCAGGGGGCCATGGCGGGCCAGGTACCCCCTGGCTATGGCACTGGGGGTGGAGGGGCTCCTCAGCCACTCCGGAGACAGCCTCCCCCTTTCCCTCCCAACCCTATGGGTCCTGCTTTCAACATGCCCCCTCAGGGCCCTGGCTACCCACCCCCAGGCAACATGAACTTTCCCAGCCAACCCTTCAACCAGCCTCTGGGTCAGAACTTTAGCCCTCCTGGGGGGCAGATGATGCCCGGCCCAGTGGGGGGATTTGGCCCCATGATGTCACCCACTATGGGACAACCTCCCAGAGGGGAGCTAGGACCCCCTTCTCTCCCGCAACGCTTTGCCCAGCCAGGGGCTCCTTTTGGCCCTTCTCCTCTTCAGAGACCTGGCCAAGGGCTCCCTAGCCTACCCCCCAACACAAGTCCTTTCCCTGGTCCGGACCCTGGTTTTCCTGGACCTGGTGGTGAGGACGGCGGGAAGCCCTTGAATCCACCTGCTCCAACCGCTTTTCCCCAGGAGCCCCACTCGGGTTCCCCGGCAGCTGCTGTCAATGGGAATCAGCCTAGCTTTCCCCCAAACAGCAGTGGGCGGGGTGGGGGTACTCCAGACGCCAACAGCCTGGCACCCCCCGGCAAGGCAGGTGGGGGCTCCGGGCCACAGCCTCCTCCAGGCTTGGTATACCCATGCGGTGCCTGTCGGAGCGAGGTGAATGACGACCAGGATGCCATTCTGTGCGAGGCCTCCTGTCAGAAGTGGTTCCACCGCGAGTGCACGGGCATGACTGAGAGCGCTTACGGACTGCTGACCACCGAGGCCTCTGCTGTCTGGGCCTGTGACCTCTGCCTCAAGACCAAGGAGATCCAGTCAGTCTACATCCGTGAGGGCATGGGGCAGCTGGTGGCAGCCAACGATGGGTGACATCCAGGTGGCCTGGGGAAGTGCACGTGTCCCTCCCTGCCCTTTCCAGGCGGATTGTTGCTTGGGTCTGGCTCTTGGTCCTTGTGCCCACTGGGTTGCCCCAGCCCCAGGAAGCTGAAGCTGTGGCTGCTGGGAGCAGAAGTGGAACTGAGGCAAGTGGGCGGGCAGGTGGAAGAACCTGCTGCACGTCTCCGGAAACTCTCAACTTATGTTGAGATCTATCTGCAGAGAGCCAGGAAACCAAAGTCCTGTGTGGAGCAGAGCCCTTTTTTTTTGGTGGGGGGGGGGGGTTGTCGGGGAAAGGAGTGGCTATCGAGGAACCTAGGGCCCGTGGCTGTAAGAAAAGCCGAAGTGGACGGAAGATGTGGAGGGCCAAGGTGTCGCCTGTGCCGCTGATGGATGACTGCCCTTCATACCCTCCCCAAAGTCCCAGCAGCCCTCTGGAGGCCCACTGTGCTGGCCTTAGTTTTTGGAGTCAGGTGGTCAAGGATTCTGGCCAGAGGAGTGGGGAGCCTCGCGTAGCCCTCCAGGAGCCTCCCTGTGGGCTCTGGGAGACATCCTTGGGGGAATACATGGGGATGGCTTCCTCTGCCAAGATCTGCTCAACTTCTCTTTCTGCACAGAACCAAATAGCTTGGAGGAGTAAAGGGCTTTTGGCTGTGTGTCCGGCGTTGGTGACTTGGGAGGCTTCAAGACCATAGGCAAGGAAGGCTTGCCTAGCATCCTCTTGATACCAAAGTCACTGGGCCTCTCAGCCTCTCCGTGCTTTTCTCTTCTAATGCCCTTTCTTTGTTTTGGGGCAGGAAAAAAAAAAAAAAGATCTGTTGTCCCACAGAGCGTGAAGTAATCAGGCTGTCCTGGGGTCTGCTGCCCTTGTCCATCTCTTGCACAGTATACTTGGCGCTGACCTCCAACTCCTAGTGCCCTTCAATTCCCATTGCCTCCTGGGCTTGATGGGAGGAAAGCCGAAGAGGCAGAGCTGTATACCTCATTCTCTCTCCTGATGATGGACCCCAGGGAGGCTGTAAGATCCCCAGAGCTGTGGTACTATAAAGATCCAAGAGCCTGGGCTGGCTCGCTGTTTTTTTTTTCCTAGCCACCCCTCATTCACTGCCACACGCCCAGCCAAGCCTAGGGATCCCATAGCTCTCATTCCTAGCCAGCCCTACCCTGGAGCAGTACATGGCTTCACTTTTATTCTATAAGCACTGCCAACCAGAAGTTGGGGCTTGTGGAAGAGCCCGACAGCTGCCCCTGCTTCCTTAAAACTGGTGCACACATTCCTTAAAGGGATGGGGGAAGATGCGCCAGAGGTGGCTCTCAACCTGCAGCAGGGAGGCAAAGGCCTGCCCTCTGGTGTGACCCCTCAGCCCCCCATTTTGCCAAGGTCCTGTCCCCTGCACTACCTTGTTAAACCACCAGATTTGGAGGCTGAGGGGGCGGGGCGTGGACTGCCTTTTCCAGTCCTTTCCTCCCCCCTATGCTGACACAGCCTAGGTGGACAACCCTTAAGGCTCACTGCGGGGTGTTTTGTGGACCTGTCTGCCCATCTCTCGGAAGGGCTGGTCTTTTTATTTGCTACCCAGCCACTCCACATCTATTTTGTAAGTTGCTCATGGGAGCTGTGTTTCAACTGCTCTCTCCCTCCACTACTTTTTGGAAGTGGAGTGATAGAGGTGTAGTTGTTTAGGGGCGGGGGAGGGTGGTCTTTTGTATGGTTGGACTAATAAAATGCTTTGAAAACCCAAACAAGGACTGCTCGCTATTGATGTAGGAAAAGGCTGGTTGGAGTGTGTGTGTGTCACTGTCGACAGCCGAGAGGGGAGGGGAGCTTGTGGGGTGAGGATGTATGTGCTGCCCAGGGCTCCTGGCTGGCCTTGGCTGCTGAGCCCAGGGGAGGTCAGTGCCCACCCACTTCCCTCCCCTGTGTCCTTTCTGTGCAAGTTTCTTTTCTGAGCACATTCCTGGGCTAGGCCCAGAGCCAAGCAGCGAAGTTGGCTCCAAGGCTTCTGGGAGACCAGGCCTGGAGCGCTCTGCGTTTAGCACCCACCCCCACCTCCCAGTTGTTCGGGCTGGGGGTCAAGTGCAGCTCCAAGGGGAGGGGCGGGGCCGCTTGCAATGCAGCGGATTGCATTCCTGGGTGCCTGTCAGCGTCTCTGCCCCGCCCTTCCTCGCCAGTTGAAGTAGTGGTGGCATCCTCCAATAGTGTACAGGCGGAGTCGGAGCACGGCGGGAGGGCTATTTCTAAACTCGCTGTTTGCCACCCATTCCTTTCCCCTCCCCCGCACTCCAGCTGTCTCCGTCCATCTGGGGCCACCTGGGCCCCTCATCCTTGGCATCTCAGGAGATCCTCATGTGCCTATCATTTTGGGGGGACTCCTCTCCAGAAACTTTAGAAGTTGAGAAAAGGATAATGAGAAGGTCCCCAAAATTGAAGTTTGCTGAGACTGAAATCGCCCACCAGAAGCTAAGCTCAGGTTTAGCCAAGGTATAGATATAACCCCGCCCCCGATTGTGAACTCCAGTTCTCATTGGCCCAAAGTTTCCGCCCCCTTTGGAAAGTCAACTTCCCATTGGCCAGTCCCTGGTCATGTGACCCCCTCCTCCCCTGTTCCCTGGGCTGGAAACCAAGAGAGGCAGCAATAAGTTAAAGCTGAAGGCCGAAGCGAGAGCTGGGTCAGGTAATGCGGTAGCTGGGGAGGGCCCCAAGATGCCCTGTGGGAGGGGGAAAGAGAGAGCAGAAGTCTAGAAGAACTGAGCTTGGGCGGGGATCCGCGGAACTTCTTGTCCAAGGCCGCAGAGCCGGGAAAAGGAGGGCACAGACAATTTCCGAAGCAGGAACTCCCCTTGCGTGACCCACCTCCTGCCCCCGCAGCTCTTTTGTACAAGGGTCCTTTGCTTTAGAGATTTGGAGCCACTATCCTTAGAGAGATGAAATTAGCTCCGAGGCCAGACTTCCCACCTTCGTTTGGAGTGGGAGAGCTCCCCCTTTAGCTGTGTTTCAGAAATAGCAGGAGGCTCTGCTGGTTCTTTCAGGATGTTTTAGCTGAATTCTGCCAGAATGAAAGGAAAGGGGGCTAGTGGGAAACGGAGGTGGAAGTCGGTTTTCTTGCCAGAAGCGGGAGAGGAAAAAAAAAAAAAACCTGAAAACACAGCAGGGAAGGGTGGCGATGAAATAGCAGAAGGAACTTCCTAATAAGGCAGTGAGATGCTCGCTTGCTTGGAGAACAGGGATCTCTTTTTGGGATCTGGGATGAACCCAGCCAGGAGAGATCAGAGTTTAGGGCTCTCAGGGTAGGGGTTCTAGACCATCTCCTGTTTTGGTTCCAGAAGTATTTTATGTTGTTGACCCACATACCATGGTTGGTTACCATGGAGACAATGGATCTGACATCACCCTGGTTGCCATGGTGCTGGGTTCTAGAGGACCCGAGCTGGCTGTACACAGCCAGGGATAAACAGGGACTTCAGCCCAAGCTGCTGCCACTTCCTTCCTGCCACCACCTGTTAACAGTCATGTGCAGCGGCTGGGGGCGGGGAGATGGGGACAGAACAGCAGGGGAGAGGCTGAGAGCAGAAAGCTACCCACGGCAGCTTCACAGATGCCCCACAGAAGAGGGCAGAGTGTCCTGTCAGTCTTGGTAGGGAACAGTCATAACGGCCCTTCTTTGTCCATGTGGATGAGTGTGCAGGGGTGTCTGGGAGCATGGGTGTCACGGAAGACACTGTATGTTGTCCTTCACCTCTCCTGGACTTGGATCTACGTGGCAAGAACCCTAGGAGGCTATTAGGGCACCAAGCAGGGCTTAAAACCAATAGACACAGAGTGGGGCAGTGTGGTGGTTTTTATGGGCAGAGCCACCCTGTTTGCAAGCCTCCCTTCCCTTTTCCAGAGTTTCCTTAACAGTAGTCTTCCAATTCCTGCCCCTCTGGTCCCTCGGGAAGTGGCCAGCTAACCTGTCCTGAGGATACAGGGCAGGACCTGGGATTCCACTCATCTCTCCCTTCTTCCCCCTTTATGCCTGGTCCCAACTTCGGTCAGCTAGATGGGGACAGTCTTGGCCTTGCTGGAAAAGTGAGCCCCTCTTCTTACCCTTCTTTGGTTCAGACATTGGAAGTTGTAGTGATATTACACACCTCTAGACTCCAGCCCTGATGGTCCATTCTGTGTCAACCATAAAAAAGGGATGTGTTTGGGACAGCTGCCTTAAATCCCGTTTGCCAGTCACTGTTCAGTCCCCTAAGACTGAAACACCTGGCAGTGTAGGGTGAGAAGTGATTGACATGGTGGGTCTGGGCCTTGCTGTGTGTGGGAACCACCACGAGGTTTTTTTTCAGCAAGGTATTGCCTGGCCCCACCCTGACCTTTCTGATTCAGGATCTTGAGGGATTCCGGCATGCAGCCAGGGCTGAGATCCAGGAGAGAGACTGTTGTGAAGGTCTCACCGTGGAGTAGGTACGGGAGAGTTGTAGGACAAGCAAATCTCTCCTACAAGCCTTGAGGGAAGAGATGGTGGCTGGGGAGGTGCCTGGTATTCCTTAGCAGCTACTGGTCTTGGGATGAACCAGGAAGGTCAGCACTTTTGGGTGCCATCTTCCCTGACCATCACGTCGGACTAGATGCTCTCCAGGGCCTTTTTTCAGCCCTGTGTTTCTTGTGTCTTTGACCCTTCAAGATCAGCTCAATGTCCCAAGGCCTGACTTGTTCCTGGAAGAGGCAGGCTTCTCTTTGTGGTTATTGGCAGGTTCTGATTTTCAAGCAAAATAAACAGTGCCCAGAAAAAAAGAGTCAAGGGTGTTGTTCATGATCAGAACTGGAACCAGGCTGGGTTCTTGAGATTACAGCACAACCCCGGAACTTTGGAACCTAGCCAAGGGTCCCTTCTGCCACCTCTCTCTTCCAAAGGGAGTTCTGGTTCTAAACAATCCTTTTTCTCTGCAGATGGAGGCAGCAGCAGCCTCAACGACCACTGCAGCCATGGACTCTGGCCCACAAGACTCGGATAATAATTGGGTACTGGCTGGCTCCGAGGTAGGGAGAGTGGGCCTGGGAACCATGGATGGGGGCAAGTTGGGGTGGTGGTGGAGGGCAGTCCTGTCCCTCCTTTGGTTCCCCTATGCTAACCTGTATTAGCTCCTGCTGCCTGTTAGAGAAGCTCCAATAGAAGAAAGAGATTAGAGCTTGGCACTGGGCCTATGCCTTTTTTTGTTTGTTTGTTTTAGATTTATTTATTTATATTGCAAAGTCAGATATATATATATAGAGAGAGAGGAGAAGAGACGGAAAGGAAGATCTTCCATCCGATTGTTCACTCCCCAAGTGACTGCAGCAACCGGTGCTGAGCTCCAAAGCCGGGTACCAGGAGCTCTTCCGGGTCTCCCATGCGGGTGCAGGATCTCAAGGCTTTGGGCCATTTTCGACTGCTTTCCCAGGCCACAAGAAGGGAGCTGGATGGGAAGTGGAGCAGCTAGGATATGAACTAGTACCCGTGTAGGATCCTGGCGCATGCAAGGCTAGGACCTAGCCACTGAGCCATTATGTTGGTACTCTGTCTCTTCTCTCCACATATCTGATCTGCTTTCCCAATAAAAATAAAATCTTCATTTTTTTTGGTTGTTCTTATAGGAACAGTAGAACCACGGATGGGAGGGAGTAGGGTTGGTGGAGACATGGGCCTGCCGTGTGGGGAATGCATGGGATACATTGAGGCTGCATGGGTGGTCCTGGGCTAAACTCCTACAAGCAGCTGCTGGGAGTTGGGGCTCTAAGTGGCGTCAAAGGCCAGTGGGAGTGACCAGAGAACCTTGGGTGTGTAAGTGGGTGGCCAGATGTGAGGGTGGTTGCAGGGATGGCCCTGGGGAATCTGATTGTGACCCCTGGGTGCCTGAGAGACTTAGTTTTCTTCCTATCTCATAACCAGGGTGCTCATGGGTGGGGTGTACTGTTGTGTCCTAAGGCAGGAGGCCTGGATTCTGCCTGGCATCCCCCCGGTGATGCTGGTGGGGAGCCCAGGTTTAGCAGTAGTCTGGGTGGTCCAGTGCCTTAGCACAGGGGTGACAGGATACTTCTTGGTGTAACAGAGAACAGGTGTTCTGGGAGTGAGGGGGAGTGCTTTCCCCTGCACTGAGACACACTTTGTCTCATGTATTTTTTTTTTTTTTATTACAAAGTCAGATATACAGAGAGGAGGAGAGACAGAGAGGAAGATCTTCCGTCCGATGATTCACTCCCCAAATGAGCGCAACGGCCGGTACTGCGCCGATCCAAAGCCGGGAACCACAAACCTCTTCTGGGTCTTCCACACAGGTGCAGGGTCCCAAAGCTTTGTGCCGTCCTTGACTGCTTTCCCAGGCCACCAGCAAGGAGCTGGGTGGGAAGTAGGGCTGCCAGGATTAGAACCAGTGCCCATATAGGATCCCAGGGCATTCAAGGCAAAGACTTTAGCCACTAAGCCACACCGCCGGGCCCAGGCAGAGGATTTTAGCTACTTGAGCCGACAGGCTGGTCCCTAGTCTCACGTATTTTGAGATGTGGGTTGGCCTGTGGAGCAGCTTTTTCTCTCTCCCTACAGAGCCTGCCTGTGGAGACCCTGGGCCCAGAATCCAGTGTGGAGCCAGGATCTGAGGGTACTGCCCTAGCTCCCCAGAGCTCCTTGGAGTCAGGTACTGCCAAGTTGTCTGGGACCTTGGATGGAGCAGGTAACAGGATCTCGGATGTCCAGGTGTCTTCAGGGAGGGGGAGCTGGTTGGTCTCTCCTTGCTTGGTATCCGGGTACCAACTCCTTCCTGCCCTGAACAAGGCCTATGGGGAACTGAAAGTGACTGTACAGAAAGTTCAGCTGGGAGCCATGACTCTTCGGGGCCTCTTTTCCCACTGCAGGAACCCTTGTCCAGACTGTAAGCCCCCCATCTGAGCCCACTCTGCCAGAGGAGCCAGAGGTCAAGGTGAGAAGGACCTGGACTGCAGACAGTGGGGAGGGGAGTCAGGTGTGGGGAGTAGGGGGACAGGATCAGGGTGTTGCTCATGGCTGTGTGTGCGCCTCAGGGTGCCCTGGCAGGTGACATGGGTGATACGGGGCCTCCTGGCCCAGGGGACACAGAGGTGCCTGAAGATGTGCAGGAGACGCCCGTGGCTGTGGGCCCAGGACTGGACACTCAGGACGTGGAACATGGGGGCTCCCTGCGGAGGTTGCCCTCAAGCCCAAACCCCAAAGCAGGTGAGAGTCCTCCTGGTCTCAGGGCTCCTCTTAGATGGCACGGATGGGATGAGGAGTGGCTGTCTGTTGCCTCAGCACGCATGTTCTGGTTCAAGCCCTGGGGTTAGCAGCTTTAGTGCCCTGACACTTTAGCTGACATTCAAGCGGTCACAGCCCTGCCAGCTGCATGGTCCACAGCTATCTGGTGCTCTCCTCTCTGCCGCCGGGTGAGGGTCAGGGGACTGATCTTTCCCTGCTTCTAGAATTCAGTCATCATTTCCAGGATAGGGAGGAGGGGAAGGGAAGTGGCTTGTGTTCTGTGCAGGAAACAGAGTGGGAGGTGCTGTGGCCCAGCAGGTAAACCTGCTACCTTGTGGACCTGCATTCCATTTTGGAGTGCTAAATTGAGTCCCATCTGGCTCAGTTTCCCACCCAGCTCCCTGCTTATGTACCTGGGAAGCAGCAGTTGGTGCTTTGAGCGCCTGAGTCCCTGGCACCTATGTGGGAAATCCACATAGAGTTTTTGGCTCCTGGCTTCAGCCTGGCTCAACCTTGGCTATTGTAGCCATTTGGGGAGTGGAAGATTTCTTTTTCTGTCTGCCTCTGTTACTCTGCCTTTCAAATAAATAAAGAGAAAGAGAGATAGAGCAGACAGCCATGGGGCAAATGGGAACTGTGAGGGGTGTACAAGGGAGATACAGCCTTCATCCTCCTAAGTGAGTGGCAAGGTCATCAGGAGACACATTGAAGGTGAGGCAGGGACAGACAGGTGAAACCTGAGCGCATAGGTGGTGGGGCAGGAGGAAGTAAGAGAACATTTCGGACCAAGGCTGCAGCACCCAAAAAGGGTGGGGCTGCCTGTCTGGAGGCCCTGCAGCAGGGGTGGGTGAGTAGGATGTTGGGGGGAGGAGGGAGTTGGTCTCTGTGAAGAAGGAGTGGGTGGAGGGAGAGGCAGGGGCCTGGGGCTGCAATGGCCAGGCAGAGCTAACGGGCCATGAGGAAGGCTGGGAAGCTGCAGTGTGGGCTGGGAAGAGATGTACGAAGATGTCAGGTTGTCTGGGTACCAGGTGAAGAGGGCAGGCTTAGGGTAGCCATGGTGCCTTTGCCTGCATTTGGAGGAGGGGGCATTGTGAAAGAAGCAGCTGTTGGGGCAGTGTGCTGGTTCCTCCCCTATCCCCACCAGAGGGGGCAGCTAGAGCTCTGGGAAGGCCCAGTTGGGAGTCACAGCTGCTGCAGGGAGGTCAGTGGGATCGTTCTGGCCACCTGGATGCAGACCCAAGGACACCCTCTCACTCCCCACCTCCCCCAAGCAGAGAAGTGGAACCCAGGGAATCCAGGGGGCAGGGTGGGAGAAGGGTGGCAGCAGTGGCAGGAGCTTGTTGGAGGCACAGACTGGAGGGTTCGTGGAGGGTGGCAGTTGCCTTTGTGGTTTGCAGGTGGTAAGGATAGGTGCCCTGCCTGCAGACTGAGCAGGGGCGGTTGTCAACACCAAGCAGGTGGAAAGGCTGTTCTGGCGCCCTTCCTGCAGCTGGGGCTGGGGCCTCCCTTCCGCCACTTCCCCTCTGCCCTGTGTCTCCCGCTCCTACAACCCCCGCAGCTGCCTCACCCGCGTCCCCATCCCTCCTCCCAGCTTGGATTGGGCATGAGGGCCACTGTTCCAGCAGCGATGATGACACTGACATGGATGTGGAGGGTCTGCGGAGACGTCGGGGCCGGGAGCCCAGCCCGCCCCGCCCCACGGCACCCCTGGACACGGAGGACTGCACCCAGGTTGAGGGTGCTGCTGGGGAGCTGGGCATCTCACTCAATATGTGCCTGCTCGGGGCCCTGGTGCTGCTCGGCCTGGGGCTCCTGCTTTTTTCTGGTGAGTGACAGAGCCCTTCCCCCACCCCTGCTGGGACCAGGGCCTTGTCTGTCAGCCTTGATCGTGGTCTTACCAGCCATTCCTGTCCTACCCGCAGGTGGCCTCTCAGAGTCTGAGAGTGGTGAGTGGGCACAGTCCTAGCTTATGTCTGTGTGTGTGTGTTGGGGGTTGTTCCGGGGTCAGGAGCAGGGGTATGGGGTGTAGAGAAGGTTCCAGGCCAGGAAGTATTATATGGAGTTTGGGGGATGTAAGGGACCCATTTTGGAGCTTCCTTCTCTCACAGACCCCGTGGAAGAAGTGGAGCTGCAGGTCTTCCCAGATCCTGGCTTAGATGCTGGCCCACTGGATGGCACAGGGGGTGAGCCGGTACGTGGGACCTGGGGGAGCAGAAACTGAGGCTGCCTGGGCTGTATTATTGGTAAAGCAGTTGGGGTAACTGGCTCGTCCGCCCTCAGGCTGGGCTGAAAGAGCAGTCACAGGCCCCGGCACCCTTGGACGCGGTTCCCAGCCTACAGAACATGGGCCTTCTGCTGGACCGGCTGGCCAAGGAGAACCAGGATATCCGGCTGCTGCAGGCTCAGCTACAGGTGGGCATGTGCAGAAGGCGGGGCTGGGCAAGCCCCATCCTAGTCAGAAGGCTGTGTTAGCGGCCTCACCCTCAAGGAGTGACCCCCAATCCCCAGTACTTGGCCTCCCCCCTTCCTCCCCAGTGTTGGGGCATCCTCCCCTGCTCTCTGTTCATGGCCCTCATGGCAAGGCCTGGGCTGTGGCTGGCTCACCTGTTTCACATTAGCTGGGTGCCTCGGCTTGAAGGTCACACCAGGTTCATGTCCAGCCAGCACTGTGGCCAATGGTATCTTTCTGGGTGTAGGGTGGAAGAAGGAAGAGCATTAGCACCACATGTTAGCTCTCTGTGGGATGCAGGAGGGTGAGAACCAAATCCACAGCGTGTCGCAGGCCACAGAAGGGGCTCGGGTCACCCACTGTGCCCAATGCCATGAAGCAGCACAGAGGCCATCCCAACAAGGGCTTGCGTAGCTTCTTTCCTTTGTAACCATATTTCAGGCCCAGAAAGAGGAGCTACAGAGCCTGCTGCACCAGCCCAAGGGGCTAGAGGAGGAGAACGCCCGGCTCCGGGGGGCTCTGCAGCAGGGTGAGGCCTCCCAGCGAGCCCTGGAGTTGGAGCTGCAGCATCTGCGGGCCCGGCTCCAGGGCCTGGAAGCTGACTGCATCCGGGGCCCAGACGGGGTGTGCCTCAGCTGGGGCAGGGGCCCACAGGTTGGCAAGGCTACCGAGGAGCAAGGCCCTGGGGCACGGGAGCCAGCTGCTGGCTTTCTGGAGCAGAAGAGGCAGCTGGAGGCTGAGGCCCAGGCACTACGGCGGGAGCTAGAGAGGCAGCGGCAGGTGTTGGGGTCCGTACAGCAGGACCTGCAGAGAAGCCTGCGGGATGTGAGCAGAGGGGGCCCAGCTCCTGCGGGCCTGGCCGAGCTGGGCCAGAGATTGGCCCAACAGCTGCGGGGCCTGGAGAACTGGAACCAGGAGCCTGGAGTCTCTGCCAATGCCTCCTCAGAGGCCTGGCAGCAGAAACCCCAGCTCCAGAATGCCAGGGAGTGGGGTGGGAAGGAGAAATGGCGGGATGGGCAGAAGGACTGGAAGCATAAGAAGGAAGACTATGGCCGGGAAAGAAAGAAGAGCTGGCAGGGCGAGGGGGCAGGGAAGCAGAAGGAGGGTCCCCCAAAAGCCGAGAAGTGGGGGAACAAGAAAGATGGCAAGCCTTGGGACCGCAAGGGGTCTCCGAAGAAGAGCGGGGACCCTGACTCCCGGGAGAGGCAGAAGCACCCTTCGTGGAAGGAAGGGGCTCAGGATGGGCAGGGCCCCCCTGTGCCCTGGGAGCAGCTGTTGAGGCACAGGTTCAGGGTGCCCCAGGGGTGCTCAGGTGTGGCCGAGTGTGCACGGCAAGAGGGCCTGGGCGGCTTTGGCACCGAGCTGGCCCCTGTGCAGCGGCAGGAGCTGGCATCTCTGCTGAGAACATACCTGGTGCGGCTGCCCTGGGCGGGCCAGCTGACCCAGGAGCTGCCCCTCTCATCGGCTTACTTTGGTGAGGATGGTGTCTTCCGGCATGACCGCCTCCGCTTCCGGGATTTTGTGGATGCCTTGGAGGACAGCCTGGAGGAGGTGGCTGTGCGAGAGACTGGTGACGATGATGAGGTGGATGACTTCGAGGACTTCATCTTCAGCCACTTCTTTGGGGATAAGGCACTTAAGAAGAGGTAGGCCTTGGGTTGGGGGGAGGTTTGGATCTTGGGGGTAGAGCAGAGAAGGGTGTGGTGGAGTACTGGTAGGAGTTTTTCCTCTGGGGACGTCTCTCTTTGGTTTTGTGGTCCCCAGCTGTCTTCTTTGCTTACCCTAGGGTGGCCCAGAGGAGTTCCTTGTGGGATAGGGTCATGAACCTGCATGGCCCAGGGTGTTGGGGGGGATCCCCATCATCTCACCCCTATGTCCTCCAGCCCTCTTTGCCATGCTTTGTGGTCAGGAGGAATGGGGTCCTTTACATCCTATGGCCCTGCCCCTTCAAGGGCTCCTCCTTCTCTGTGCCTTCCCCTCCCCCAGGTCAGAGAAGAAGGAAAAGCACTGGCGGAAAGACAGGGAGCCCAGGCGCTGGGAGGAGCACGGCCACACTCGCCACCCCCCTCACCACCGCGGCTGAGGCCCAGCCCGAAGTCCATAGACACTGTCTAATCCCTGGAGGCCAGGCCCCACCCAAGCCGCTGGCATCTCTCCTTGGATATCCTTCACTCAGGAGAGCAAAGGATTTCAGCCTTGTGCACCTGTCCTGCTGTTTATGCAAATGAATGCAAATGACAAGGACCTGCAGCAGTGTGAATGTGAAGCCCATGTGAAGGGGGTGGGGGCAAGGTCGTGGGAGCCTTTTTGAGGGAGGGGCATCATTTGGATTCAGAAGGTAAAGAGCTCTTTGATCCTATGGTGTGTGTCCCCAGAGTGGGCTCCATACACCGTCCCAGCTTCCCCTCCCCCAGGGCCTTGACTAAAGTTGTTGGCTGGGGGCCAGGAGCGTTTTGCTAAATTTGGAAGCAGCTGTTCCCCAGGGAGGGGGTCAAGTCCCCTCTTGACCCCTGCTTCTCACGCGGCCTCATCTCCCTTGTGAACTGCAAACCCAGATGCTAATAAAGTGCTGTGTGAGCTGAACTGCTGGGTGTGTCACCAGAGTGACCTCTTACCTTTGGGAGGGGCAGGAACTTGGAGTGGGGAGGGTTGCCCTCACTGGCCACTGAAGTAGATGGGTGCCACCACAGGAGCTGGTCTTTGCACCCCTTCTCCTGAATGTTGCTTCCCTCTTGCTGCTGTCCTGGTAAACCCAGGGCCCCTCTCGCCCCCGCCCCCTCCCCTGTCCCCTGCCTGGGTTGGGGCCTCCCCATGTTCTCACAGGTGCCTTGTTCTGGTTCTGGTGTCTGAGCTGTGGGTGCTCATCCAGGCTGAGTGATAGGAGCAAGTTGGTACCCGGGAACCATGGCTTTCTTATCCTCCAAAAAGAAGCTTGCAGGGCTGAGGAGAGGTTAACCAGAGAGGACTACGTGTAGGCAAAGTGCCATGCTTGAGCACTGCCTGGACAGCAGGTGCAGGAGGTCGGGGAGCCACTAGGGGGATCTCTGGTTCCGTCTTCCTTCCACGCCTCTGACCACCCCCAGATCTGCCCCCATCCCACCGGGCCCCAGCCTGTTCCCCGGGCTCCCTCCCTGGAGAGAACCCCGGCTTCCCTTGGCTCTTTTCTGAGGTCTAACCTCTGTCTGCAATGTAGCATGCTGCTTCTTTTTTTTTTTTTTTTTAAAGATTTATTTATTTTTATTGGAAAGTGAAATATACATAGAGGAGGAGAGACAGAGATCTTCCGTCCGATGATTTCACTCCCCAAGTGACTGCAACTGATGCTGCGCCGATCTGAAGCCAGGAGCCAGGAACCTCCTCCAGGTCTCCCATGCAGGTGCAGAGTCCCAAGGCTTTGGGCCTTCCTTGACTGCTTTCCCAGGTCACAGGCAGGGAGCTGGATGGAAAGTTGAGCTGCCAGGACTAGAACCGGCATCCATATGGGATCCTGGTGTGTTAGAGGCGAGGACTTAAACAACTATGCTGTCACGCTGGGCCCAGGAGCCTCATTTTTGAAACTGTATAAAGGTGACTGTCATATCAAGAAGGAACATACTATGCAGTATGCATCTCTATTCCTAAATCAAAGGTAGATCTCCAATGAAACTGTTAACTATATCTTGACAGTAGGAGGTCTATAGCTACAATGTCAGGATACACTTAAATAGCAGAAGGATGGATGTGTGACTGGTGCTGAAGGGCTATATTGTTGTTATAATAAGGGGTTAATCAGCGGGAGGGAAGGTAATTGGGGAATGTGGGAGGGGCAATCCCTGAGCCTATGGAACTGAATCTTAAAAACAAAACAAACCAAAAAAAGCAACCTCATTTTCTCTCCATTCACAATGTTCACCTTCTTGCACAGGTGCTTCAAGTACTTGCTGCCTGCACCTCCACCTGGCCTCCCCTGGCATGCTGGGCTGGGCTGGCTGGGTATCCTGTTAGCCCTCACTCAGGCCTCAGTTTCACAGATAGGGCCCATCATTTGCATAAAGAACTCTTAAGGGCCCCTAGAGGTTTCCCTCTCTACCCAGCAGGAAATGGTATGTTGAGCGGCAGGCAGGCTCAGGGGACTGCTGGCTCAAGGAAGCCATTAAGCTTGGGTGTGGGCCTGGTACAGTGGCCTAGCAGCTAAAGTCCTCGTCTTGAACGTGCCAGGATCCCATATGGGTGCCCGTTCTAATCCCAGCTGCCCCACTTCCCATCCAGTTCTCTGCTTGTGGCCTGGGAAAGCAGTCGAGGACTGCGGACCGCCCAAGGCCTTGGGACCCTGCACCTGTGTGGCAGATCCAGGAGGAAACTCTCAGCTCCTGGCTTCAGATTGGCTCAGCTCCAGCTGTTACAGCCATTTGGGGAGTGAACCACCAGAGGGAAGATCTTCCTCTCTGTCTTTCCTTCTCTCTGTATATCTGCCTTTCCAATAAAAAATAAATCTTAAAAAAAAAAAAAAAGCCTGGATGGGTTTGGTGGAGTTTTGTTGACCTATAACTCGGCTGTTCTGGTTACCCTGCCTGCAGGTGCCCTAGGGGGCCCTCTTTGCAGCCACCATAGGTCTAGAAGCGTCCTCTCTGTCATACCTATGCAACTCTGTCTCCTGACCAGGAAGGACTCCAGCCTCCAGGTTACAGATGATGTCCTGGCCCTGGGGAGCTGGGAGTCCGGCAGCAGGAGATGGCACTGTCCCGTTCCCACAGTGCGTGGAGATGGCTACTGGCTGGGCAGGGCTCGCGTGAACTGTGGAAGTCCTGCTGGACTCTGCCATAAATGCCTTGGCCTCCCAGGGCTTAAACACATTTTTTATTTGAAAGGCAGACGCCACAGAGACTTTCCATCTGCTGGTACACTCCCAAATGATTGCAAAAGCTGGAGCTGGCGTGGGCAGGGGCTGGGGAGCCTGTTGCTGTGAGTTCAGGATCACAGCCCCAGGGTCCTCACCAAACACCTGTGAGGAGTTTGGAGTTGTGCAGGAGGAATATCTGTTGCCTACAGCAAGGCCAAGGGAGAGATGACCTCTCTGCACCTGCACAGGGTGGCCCTGGCCTGGCCTGGCAGAGGCAGCTGGGAGTGACTCTCACAAGGAGCATCCACCTCTGACCCTCAGGGAGCGAGAAAGGCTGTGGGGAAAGGCTGGGCAGGTGGGAGGGGTCGGGGGGAGCGTGCATGAGTGGCGTGCATGAGTGGCTGAGCTGAGGACACCAGGGAAAATGTAGCTGGGAAAGGGGTGAGGGCAATAGGAGGAAGGGTTGGGATAGGGAAGTCCAAGGGACAGGAACAAAGAAACAGACAGGAAGGCCGGTGAAGGGCACCCCAACTCCAGTGAGCCCCTACAGCACCCCAGGGCTGAGTCCACAGGGCAGACGTCCCCTCCTCGGGGGTGCTCCCAGACGGCAGAGCAGAAAGTCAAGGGCTAGGGCTGCTGCTGTGGCACAGCAGGTTAAGCCACTGCTTGCACCCAGTCCCGGCTGATCCACTTCCCATCTAGCTCCCTGCTAATGTGCCTGCGAAAGCCTTTGAAGACATTTGGGAAGTGAACTAGCAGATACTTCTCCTTCACTTTCTTCCCCCTCTTTCTCTCCTTTCTTTTTAAACTCTGTCTTTCAAATAAATAAAATGAATCTCTTTTTTTGTTCTAATTTTATTTTATTTTTAATATTGCTTACATAGTAGAGCGGGATGCATGTCCATGTGGGCCTCAGATTAGTGTGGAGAGGGTTGAGGTAAGGAGGAAGGTGGGTGAGACAAATGCTTTAGTTATTTCTCTTCCTCCTGTGTCATGCAGGGGACCAGGGAAGGGTGGTCCACTCCTTTCTGTCAAACTACATCAGCACCCAAGGTGGAAAAGGTCATTTGCTGTCACCTTAGAGTCCCTGTTGTGGGGGAGAAGGGTCCAAGGATGCTGCTTGAGTGGTCTTTTTTTTTTTTTTAAGATTTATGTATTTTTGTTGAAAGTCAGATATACAGAGAGGAGGAGAGACAGGGAGGAAGGTCTTCCGTCCAATGGTTCACTCCCCAGGTGGCCGCAAGGGAGCTGAGCCAATCCAAAGTTAGGAGCCAGGAGCTCTTCCGGTTTCTTTCACGCAGGTGCAGGGTCCCAAGGCTTTGGTCCGTCTTTGACTGCTTTCCCAGGCCACCAGCAGGGAGCTGGATGGGAAGTAGGGCTGCCTGGTTTACAACCAGTGCCCATATGGGATCTCAGCAGGTTTAAGGCGAGGACTTTAGCTGCTACACTGTCACACAGGGCCTGAGTGGTCTTGATGGTTATGTAACATTGGCTTCATTGTGCCAGGACTGAGAATTTTTTTTTTTTAAAGATTTGTTTTTTTTTAATTTTTATTGGAAAGGTGGATATACAGAGAGGAGAGACAGAGAGGAAGATATTCCGTCCGATGATTCATTCCCCAGGTGGCCGCAATGGCTGGAGCTGAGCCTATCCTAAGCCAGGAGCCTCTTCTGGGTCTCCCACGCGGGTGCAGGGTCCCAAAGCTTTGGGCCATCCTTGACTGCTTTCCAGGGTCACAGGCAGGGAGCAGGATGGAAAAGCAGGGATGCTGGGATAGAACCGGCGCCCATATGGGATCCCGGGCATGCAAGGCGAGGACCTTAAGCATTGTGCCATCATGCCGGGCCCCGAGAAAATCTTTTATGTTTTTTAATGAAAGATTGGTTATGTCGTTGAGAGGGATGCATGTCCCTGTGCACCTCTGAACAGTGGGGAGGGGCAAGGTATGGAGGAAGGCGCGTGGTATGCATGTTTCAGTTCCTTTTTTCTCTGCTGTGTCTGCAGGGTAGGTGGGGGAGGGCTGCTCCTGCTGTCAGACTACATCAGCCCCCCAGGGATAGGGGATGGTCATTTGACAACACCTTAGAAATCCCAATGTGGGGAAAATGTTGCCAGGGTGTTCCTTGAGTGGTTTTGATAGTTCTGGGACATCGTTGGCTTCCTTGCAGCAGGGCTGCGACAATCTTCCCAAGGTCTCTTGGCTGAGCAAGTCCACCTTAGTGCATCTCCAGACCAGGATACTTGCTTTGAAGCTTGGTCGGAAGAGTTGTCTAACCTATTCTGCTCTCCATCCTCTGCGAGGCAGACATCTGGTCTAGATGAGCTGGCTGTCATGTCTCCAGTGTGCAGCTGGGCACTCTGTCCACTGCACGAGCATCAGCAACTGAGGAGGTCCAGTCCTGACACATGCATTCCAAGCTTGGACCACAGGTCCTGTGATTTTCCTCGTGGCTGGGGTTTGAGTACAAGGAGCTAGTTGGGGAGTCCTCAGACCTGACTCTTGTGTGCAGCAGCCAGTGTGGGGGCAGCTGTGGTCTGTCACTTGTGCCAGTGGATTCAGCTGCCAGGTCATCTGTGTCAGCCCCAGCCTCATTTCTCAGGCGAGCCCAGCCCAGCTGGCTTGCCACGGACCTAGTCTTTTGTTTTGTTAAGATTTATTTATTTTTATTGGAAAGTCAGATATACAGAGAGGAGGAGAGACAGAGAGGAAGATCTTCCGTCTAATGGTTTACTCCCTAAGTGGCTGCAATGGCTAGAGCTGAGT